TGCAACAAAGCTCGCAATTTCCCTCCCTATGGCCTCCTACATCCCCTGGAAATTCCAGAGACACCATGGAGCCATGTCACCCTTGATTTCATCACTGATTTACCTCCCACTGCTGCCCATCACAACGCCATTCTCACTGTGGTTGACAAACTCACAAAGATGGCCCATTTCATTCCCACTTACACCACTGCCACTGCCCAAGACGTTGCTGAACGTTTCTTCACATAAATAGTATGTCTTCACGGTATTCTCTCTGTCCTTATCTCCGACCGTGACTCCCGTTTCGTTGGAAGATCCTGGCAGGCCCTTTTCAACAGGATGGGTACCAAGATTCGCCTCTCAACTGCCTACCACCCTCAGTCTGATGGGCAGACCGAGAGAATGAATCGCACACTGGAAGATGGCTTGCGTGCATGTGTCAACGCTCGCCAGAACGATCGGGACACCCACCTGCCAGAAATCGAGTTCTCCTACAACAGCACCGTTAACCTTGCTACTGGACAGACCCCGTTCTACCTAGCTACTGGACAGAACCCTCGCACTCCTACCTCACTGGTTCACAGCCCCAAACGTGATACTGCAGCAACGGCATTTCTGAAGGACAGAGAGAAAGCCATAGCAGCAGCACGCACCTCACTCTCCAGGGCACAGCAGCGCATGATTCACTATGCAGACCAGCACCGACGTGACATCCGCTTTCACGTAGGAGACAAAGTACTTCTCTCAACCAGAAATCTGCCCCTACTCACTCAAGGCCTCACCCGCAAGCTCGCACCTCGCTTCATTGATCCCTTCACAATCACACAGGTCCTCTCCCCACTCACATACCGTCTGAAACTTCCTCCTCACATCAACATCCATCCAGTCTTCCATGTCCATCTACTACACCCATATCATGATCCTCCAGCTCGTTTCCTCCCTACTTCTCAGCCATCTCGCCCTCCCATGTTCACTCCAACCCCTGATTTGTTTGAAGTTGAGAAGATCCTTGCTCACGAAACAACACCTAGTGGCAGATATTTCTTGGTTAAGTGGCGTGAGCATGATGATGCAGAAAATCTCTGGATTCCAGAGAAGGACTTAGAGCATGCACAACGAGCTATCTCTGCCTACTTTGCATCTGCTGGTGCACCGAGGACGGTGCCCCTTGGAGGGGGGAGTAATGTAACAGGGCGAAGGCGAACTCGCCACAGGAAAGTTCGCTCACTAGCGAACTTGTAACCTTCGCCAAAACTCCAACCTGAAATGTCAAATTCGAGGTTGGAAATCTCAACCTGAAATGTGCGCTTCAGGATTTCTCAAAGCACACGTGAATTCCCCACAGCAACGCAGTAGAGAAGAAAGCACAAGGGCATCTTCACGACATCAGAGCAACAAGTCACGCCATACAGCTGTAAGTCAATAAAGCGGGCACCCCTTGTTGACAGCCGTTTGGGCCAGGCGCAAGAAAATCAGCCCAGCCATGGCTAGCTAAGAGTCTTTACCTCTCGTAACACCCTATAGTCGCGTAAGAGGTTATCTGAATAACGTTCATCTGCCCTTTGGGTAGCGGGATAGGGAGGTTGACTTGTTTGAAGTTGGTCTGTTTAGTTTCGCGCAGCTTCTCGCTGCACAGTCTGAATTTTCGCTGACTCAGCAAACCCCAGGAAGGAACTCCGAGTTGGTTCTTGAGTCCCAAATTGCACTCACAATATTCTTGGTGTGTCCTGCTTTCCGATTCGACCAAAAATTGATGGCCAATCAAATTGCATCGCACTTCTCGTAACCACAATTCGCAACCAAAACAACACTCAGAAATCACTCCGATCAACTTTAGTAAGCTTGCCCCACGCGGTCTGCAATTTGGGCTTTGAGCTTTTACCTCTCGCCACTCGCCATGCCTGTAGGCTTCGTGCGTTAAAGCCCAAGACCCGAATTACAAAAAAACGAGGGCAAACTGTGCACATTTTGCCTCCCGCAGCCCACAGTTTTGCCCCGCATTGACTTGCGTTGAGCAATTCAGGTCTTGGGTTTTAAAGCTCGCGGCCCAAATTGCAGGCCGCGCCGGGCAACCTTAGTAAGGTTGATTGATAGTTGTTTTGCAGGTGCTGGTTTTGCGAATTGAGGTTACGGGTTGTACGAAGGAAGTTGATTGGCTAGTCAATTTGAAATACTGAGCTGATTGGCTAGCAAAATTGAAACAGTGTTTGCGGAGGGGGTTGGGTGGGAAACTGGCAAGGATAGTATTTGTGCAATATGGGACTCATGCAACCAAACGCGAAGTGGCCCCTGGGGTCTACTGAGTCAGCGAAATGTGTTTGAGATTGGCGAGAAGTTGGGCGAAACCAAAGCCCTCAACCCACCCAACACCTAGACTAGCCAACCCTGCTCCATCACCTCCCAACATGCAACTTTAGTAAAGTTGTACAATTTGGGCCGCGAGCTTTAACCACGGAGAGCACCATCATCAGCAGAATTCGATTACAGCGAGTACGGGTTTCTTCAGTTACAGCGAGTATCTTTAGTACAGCGAACTGCTATGTATCTATGCTACATAGGAAATAATCATTTTGCGACAGGTTTGGTTGCGTGTTTCTAGCCATAACACTTCCATGAGGCAGCCGTAAAGATGGGTAAGAAATCACAGTAGAGACTTGAGCAAATAAATGTAGGTGGGTCCAAGGGTGAATGGTGGAAGTGGGCGAGTTGTGTATTACAAGAGCAGTATATGATATGGTGGTGTGGTGTGCACATGGAGTACCAGTACCAGGTTGTCCATGTCGAGAAGGATCTTGTGTTTGTTGACTGGAATGCCATGTTCAAGCCGTACTAACTAGTAAACATAAGGAATGAGTTTCTTCACACGGGCACTGTATTCTACATATGGTCGTCCAAATCTAACACTAAGCCATTTCTCCTCAACGCTTGCCTTCCTCTCTAGGAACATGGCAAGAAAACAAGTGTACAGCAACCTCTCGCTGCTGCATGTTGCGGCAGTCACCCCCACTGCGAAGAAAATAGCTCCTGCATATATCGGATGACGCACAATCGAGTACAAGCCTCCTGTCTTCAGAGTGGCGGCAGCTGCAGGTTTGGGAAAAGGTGTCAAGCTTTCTCCGAGGTCTTTCAGAGCAGATACGAAGAAAACACAGGAGCTCAGGGCAATCAGAACGCCAGTAACGCGGATGATGTCGAAGGAGAAAATCGTCACGGACGGGCAGACGGAGGCGCGAAGGAAGGTGGGGAGGAGAGACGGAGGGGGGTAGAGAACGAGGATGAACGGGATGAGCTGAAATACGGCCCACCACTCGCCGCGTGTCCCCCATTTCCCGTCGTTCATGTTCCTCCATACATGCATGCGCTGCGTCTCTCCATTCGGATTCCTGGACCGCGAAGCGTCACCGCCGTCTGTTCCCGCCATACCCTCCCGTTTCCGAAGTCAGGAGGACAAGAGGAGTGATTCAGTCGCGGGATGTGCGGGATTTGGAAAGGGCTGCTGGCATCAGTGTGGACATTGGCGATGTAAATAAAAGCTTGTGTCAATGAACCCGATGGTATTAGGCCTGTGCGTGTGATCTGTCAAGCGAGCGAGGCAAGAAGTTAGGGGAAGAGCGGTACGTGCTACGGCTGGTCTGGGAGGAACGAGATTGCTGGAAGTATCTGGCGAAACATCCTTAATTCCGTTACAGCATAACGCGTTATAAACTGTGACTGCATATGCAATTCTCTTCTTTAGTCCGAACTCCATACTCTGGGGATGGAAGTGAATGTCACTAAAATACCGTAACTAGTCGCCATGATGTGAAAGTTTCGCGAATACCGTTGGTGGGGTGGTTGTGTGAGACGAACCACGGATCTGGGTAAGTTTCCTCACGTAACCAAAAGATGTGTTAATAAAGACGGAGTTACCAAGTCACTCGGTTTCCACACCCCGTCTCAGTAGCAGAATCAATCGACGCTTCGGATGAGAGTTTGCGGGGCGCTTTGAGGTATATGTTTCTAGTTTGGAAAGAGTTCAGATCCAGCTCAGCGATTTCGAGACATCCATGCAGCCCCAATCCCCACCCTATCCCCTCCCCTGCCCTCCAGATCAAACACGGCAATTTATTTGCTGATGATTCCATACTCTTTTGGCAAGAGGAGGGGAAACTCCAGGAGTTCTCTCATGTTCGCCATGACGCGAGCCTGAATTTTCACCAGCTGTAGCCATAGGCTCAGGTTCCTCCTAAGTCCCTTCTTCAGGAGCTTTTTCTGACAGAACTGCTGCAACAGAACTCTTTAGCACAAGGGGGGAGGGAACGCGAATTGTGATAGGCTCGCAAATTGCACTCTCGGAGCGGCAATCGCGTTCCAAGGTGTGAAAATTCTCCTGGCGCTCCGCCTGACCAGCTGAAGGCGCCGGTTTGTGAGGCAGGCAGCTTTCTCACCGAGGAACTTGGTTTCCATATAATCCACAACCCTGCTGCGGATAGGTATCGGAAAATTCATAAAACAGCATTTGTCATTTTCCTCGACTCCTCCTAAACCTACTCTAATACCACCTGAGGAAGCTCCTCCGTTTCCATTTCCCTTTTGGTCTCGCGTTCTTCTCGCCACAACTGTTAGCACACCATCATTCTCTCATTCTTAGCGCACTCGCAAGTCTCTCGGGACTTCACGCGAACCGAAGCTCGCTCTCTCTACTCTCCTCCCTCCCCAGACCCGCGACTCTACTCTTCGCCTCCTGTAATTATTCGGGAATCTGAATCGTCTGAAGACTGCTGCGATTGTAACGTCTCGTCTCAACAACGCCGAACCACAAAGCCTCGGCGAGTCGCGGACCCTAAAAATCGTTTCAGACTTACGGCCTCTCCACCAATCTTTCTCGACGTCTCAGCAACCGGTGGGTCAAACGACGAAGCAGCGACAACGCAAGCAGTAGCAGGTGAAGAAGCTGCAGGCACAAAGCACAGCCATCCCACGCGTGGTTTCCAGGCACGGAGTTTTTGATCGTCACGCGAGAGAGTAAACTACGAGGCGCCATGGCGGGTACCGGCCGTTCCTCTATATCTGAAGCGTCTCGAAAATCGTCGCGTCATCTCGAAGTGCCAGTGACGCTATCCCTCCTCCTCGTGACCCTCGCGCTATTCGCGGCGCCAATTGCGGCCAACAACTGCCCTTCCTTCCGGCCAATCGGCGTCGAGTGCCCTCCCGCCACGTCAGCAGTATCCGCGTCGGCATCCGACGCCGCAAATCCCGCCTGCAAATCACAGGCTTACCTGGGCCGATTCGCCGTGCAGGGCTCGAAGCGCTTCCGCCTCCCCGCGCTCCCCAACGGCGTTCCGCTTCCGCCGGGCGCGCTCTCCGCGGACTGCTGCGCGGAGTGCCAGCAGCGCGCCGACTGCGCCTACTGGAACATCCTGCTCCGCTCGCGCCGCTGCCTGCTCTTCGCTGCTGACGTATGCGCCGCTGACGGGCCGGCCGTGTTTCTTCCCGGCGAGGAGAACGCCTTGTAAGTCGCTCGGTCCTGAGCGGTCTAAGAGAGATTTCCGTAACTTCCTCTCATGTCGTCCCGTAATCTCCCCGCCGCGGACGCGCCGGCATTGTTTCTCCCCGGCGAGGCGCACGCCTTGTAATGGCAGCTGTTCGAGTCCTGCCTCTCTTACTGCGTTTCGTTCCGCTTATTTTCCGTGTCCTATTCGTTCTCGTGTCTCCGTCGGCGCTCCTGCTGTCTTTCTTCCTTTTTTCCCTCATTCCCTTCGTTCCACCCTTCCCCTCCTCCTGGCTCCCCTGTCAATATCTCACCTCACGATCTTCCGCGTCTTTTGTGCTTTGTGTGTGGTGTTACCCCTTTTTTGTCTATCTCCAAACGCCTCTTGCAGCGTCGGGACTCGCTACTGCAACGCAACGCCATCTGTAACGCGTACACCAGCCAACACCACCGATACCACACAAGACGACAGCACACCCTCCGAGAGCGCGCTTTCCATTTTCGAGGACGCCACTGACGAGGATGAGCAGGAGACGGCGGAGGGGCAGGCGGAGGAGAGAGCGGAAGCGGAGGAGGAGCACGACGCGCATGTGATGGGCGTGTTTGAAGGCGACATGGCGAGAATGCACGCGGAGGAGGCGGAAGAGTTGAAGATCGTTGAAGCAGCGTCTCAGGCGCAGGAGCAGCAGCAGGCAGAGGGGGCGTATCAGAACATCCCTGAGGCGATGGCTGCTTTGGAGCTGGAGGTGATGCAAAGCGAGGAGCAGAACCAGCCGCAGCAGCAGCAGCCGCAGGAGCAACAGCCGCAGGAGCAGAATGAACAGCAGGAGCAGCCTCATGGCGTCGAAGTCTTTGAGCTTTTCGAGCTGCAGCAGGAGAACCCTGCGCCGTTTCAGGAGAATTCTCAGGTGATGCAGCAGATTGAGAGGGAGGGCGTGGCAGCGCAGCAGGCTGGAGAGGTCTCCGCCATCCAAGGCATGGAGGCATTTGAGGAGAAGGACGAGGGGGGAGAGGAGGGAGAGAAGGAAGAGGAGCGAGAGAAGGAAGAGGCAGCTCGGGCTGCGGCGGTGAAAGAGATGGAGGAGGAGGAGATCCCCATCCGTCTCGTGTCCTTCTCCCTTGTCGACCCCAGCTCCCAAATCACAAGCCAAGCAGCCGCCATGGAAGCAGAGGAGGCGGAGAGAAAAAGCAACGACAAGGCGAAGAGAGGCACAGACGCCGAGCAGGCTGCCTGGAGGGACCTGGAGCAGCAGGAGATTCCAGTGAAACTGACCTCATATGAAATCGTGGACGCCGATTCTCTTGCCGCGAGCCAAGCAGCAGCGATGGAGGAAGAGGTGGAGAGGCAGGCAGACGCCAGTGCAACCGCTCTCAGGGACCTGGAGGAGCAAGAGATTCCTGTGAAGCTAACCTCTTATGAGATGGTGGACGCCGGTTCATTGGCTGACAGGCAAGCTGAAGCAATGGAGAAGGAGGAGGCTGAGAGGCAGGAGAGGGAGAGAGCAGCCGTGTTGAGGCAGCTGGAGGAGCAAGAGATTCCAGTGCGGCTAAACCTGAGAGGGCACTCTGCCTTCCACACGGCGTCCTAAGCTGCTTACAGCAAGGCAGCTGGAGGAGCAAGAGATTCCAGTGCGGCTGAACCTGAGCGGGCACTCTGCTTTCCACGCAGCATCTTGAGCTGCGACTAGCAGGAAAAGCACTGTGGAAGAGTGGAACAACCTTCAGTCACCTGGTTATCATACTTTAATTATAAATTAGTGGGTGTATGTGTATGATCGATACAAGCTCGCGCTTTTGTGCTGTGGTTGTAGGCTGGGTGGTTTATGTGTACCATGTTGTATAAAAATCTATTGAATGCAACGTCAAATTAAAAGCATTGTTCCATGACCAACCTTATCATGTCCCCTGAGTATTTTGCTTTTTTAGTTGCCAGTATTTTCATGGAGCTCACAGGTTAACATTGATCAGATGTGTTTCTCACCATGAGATCTCTCAATAAGCTTGGTGTTGAGGAAAGTGCATCATTAGATACACAGCAGAGGCAATCATGTACATTTCAATGGTTTCTGTGTGACTACAAGAAAGGCATAGTGCCAGCGTAGAGGAAACGTGTTTGTAGAAAGAACAAGATAGAACTCTTGCACTGGAAACGGATTGAGAATTTGATGGATTTTAGGCAATACAAGCAAGCTTGATATAGCATGCATGATCTAATGATGGAAAGTGCTACGTGAGAGACCAAAAGTAGAAGCAAGAGAAGTAGAGTGCCAGATGGCACAAGGAAATCAAGGAGGATAAGGATAAGGGTGAGTTGGAAAGTACTGTTCAAAAGGGAACAGTAAATCCCCCCCCTTATCATGGAGGCTTATAGAGGGGACTACACTAAAACCAAACAGCACACTGGTATACAGTATTCGTTATACTGTATTCGGATTTCCAACACTCCCCCTTGCTGTAGGTTTTAGTGAATCCGTTTTCCTTGGAGGATGGGGTGGTCGAGGTGGTGTACCACCACAAGGTAGGGGTGCGCCCAAACCAAGCTAGGGTTTGGTGGTGGCCAAGCTGCTCGTCACTGTAGCACCTTTCCCCTCCCAAGCCTTTGGTGCTTTCAAACTCCAACCAAACCTCCTCCCTTGATGTTTTCCAATCCCTCCTTCCACTGGCGACTTTCCAGATCTAGATACAGCGCGTAGTGGCTGCTACTGAGGAAATAGTAGCAGCTCCATGACGAAATCTCCTCGTAACCATGGCGAAATGCGTAGATCGTCATGGCGGATTGCCCTTAGCGCACACCGAATTTCCGAAACCGTCAACTTTACGTCACGCGATTGTCAGCGCTGCTGTCTTTTTCGCATGCCTCCTGTGCGACGACAAAAAAACACCGCAGCGGATGTGCGCCTGCGACGACTGCTGATGACGCGAACTGGTAGCGAATAACGCGTGACGTGCGGCTGGCGCAGGCAGGCGTACACGGCGTGCGGGAGAAGCGACGGCTTAGCGGCTGACGATCTGCTGCGCGTCTGCTACACCATTTTCCTGTCCGTGCTTGCTGTATCTTCGTGTGTCGTTTCTCCCCCTGGCTTCCTGCTCTGCCTTTGCCCTTCTCCCCCTGCCTCGGGATGCGATGGCATCAGTTTGTGCAAGTCTTGAATGCACACCACCAGATGATGCTAAGTCTGCCCGAACTTCACCCATGTTGTCATGTGATGCTCCCCCTACACTCCAGATGTATGGGAGCCGCTGGAGTTGCGGAACTTCATCAGCTCGAGTTTGCACATTTCGACGCAAAGCGGGATGACAGGTGCGCTCCAAGTGTGCAGAAATGTGTACGCCAGGGCTGCAGTGCACTCCAGGTGAGCAGTTTATGCACCCCTGGTATGCAGTAACGCCAAGTAGGTATGCAGATATGTGCACACCAAGTAGACCAGGTATGCAGGAAACTGTGCTCCCGTGTATGTTCTCCGTATGGTTAGTAGGTCTTCCCCGTATGCTTTGTGACCCCATGTCCCAGTTTAGTGCCACTGGATACACTCGACACCCAACCCCCCCCCCCCCCCCCCATGTGCTTGTAGGCATGCACGTAACCGCGTACACAGCTACAAGCACGTGAGTGAGTGTGGAGTTAGGTGACGCCATGTGGTGCAGCACCGCTTGAAGAGGCCGCACAAGTGAGCACAACATCAGCATTCTTGACATGGCGAATGTCTCCAGATGGTACACCAGGGGGAATTGGTTGAAGCCCACTCAGAACACTGCAGGTGAGATGCTGCTTGGAGGTGACCGGTTTGGTAAGGTAATCGGCTGCTTGCTTGGTTGTTGGACAGTACTCCAACCATACCACGCCATCACGCACTGCTTTACGGGTCCAGTGGTAACGCACCTCCATGTGCTTGGTGCGCTGACTCATTTGTTCCCCTTTTCCAAGGGCAATCGCACTCTGGTTATCCACATAAAGAACTGTGGGTTCTCTCTGTGGAAAGCCAAGGTCGGCACACAGTCGCCGCAGGTGAGCTGCTTCCCTTGCTCCTTCAAACATGGCGATGTACTCAGCTTCTGTTGTGGAGGTAGCGATGACCGTTTGCCGTTTCGTCCTCCAGCTGACAGCAGCTCCCCCCAGCGTAAACACATAGCCGCCCACCGAGTGACATCCAACCTCATTTGCATAGTCAGAGTCTGTGTATCCACGAAGCACCAAGTCTCCTTCTCCATAAACCAATCCAATCTCAGCCGTATTCTGCAGATACTTGAACACACGCCGAATTCCGAGCACAGTTGTTGCCGTTGGCTTGCTGGCCTGTCTGGCGAGCACATGCGTGGCAAAGGTGATGTCTGGCCTTCCTGCTGTAGAGACATATAGCAGCGCCCCAACCTGCTGCATCACCCGCTGATTGTCCACCTCTTCAGGTGACTCCCCCTGAGGTCCAGGTTCCTTGGAAATCGGCGTTCGTACTCCAGAGCGGCACTCCTCCATCCCATAGTTTGCCAACGCTTGTTTGATGTACTTGGTGAGTCCCAATGATATGGTGTTGCGGGAAGTAGTAACATTCAAACCCAGAAATTGTGTCATGGTCGAGTTGACGGTCAAGGTGAAGTTGTCCTTCAAGTGTTGAATGACTGCTTGGATGCCTTCCTCATCATTAGACTGAATGAGGATGTCATCCACGTAAGTGAGCAGCCACACCGTATCTTTTCCAGCCCTCCTCCAGATGAACAGTGATGGATCAGACTCCGACTGCATCATTTCCAGCTCCAGCAGTACTCCTCGTAAGTGTTGATGCCACAATCGAGGTGCTTGTTTCAGCCCATAGACGCTGCGCCTGAGCTTCCAAACCTTGTCTCCATCACGTCGAGGTTCAGGTGGTCGCACGTACACATCTCTGTCAATTGGTGCATAAAGAAATGCGTTGGAGATGTCCAGCTGCACAACTTTCCGCTTCGTTGTTGATGCGCCTGCAACAAACATGCGTGAAGTAGGTCCTTGGCTGACCGGGGCGTATGTCTCATCATATGTTCCCCACGTCTGTCCACAGCCTTTCACCACCCACCGTGCCTTGAACCTGCTTGGCTGGCCTTTGTCATCTCGTTTGACCCTGAAGATAATTCCCTCCGTCAACACCGGGACTCCCTTTGGTACGTCCGCCCTGTCCACCACTTCATACGCTCCCAGCTCGTCAAATTTGGTGAGCTCCGCGTTGACTGCCGCTTGCCAAAAAGGTGCGTATGGATCCGTGGTCAGTTCTTTGAGTGACTTTGGCTCTTTGTAGGTCAGGTCGACCATGGGCACAGTCGCAGCTGCACATCCCAACACGTGTTGCTGTAAGCTGGGAAGGCTGTTGACTCCTTGTGGCATGTCTTCCTTAGTCCACATGACTTGCCCTGCTTGACGCTTTCCAAGTAGCACGTCCAGCCCTGTTATGCGGTGCGCAGCTTGCCCTTCTTCTCCGAGCACAGTTACAGTCGGATCAAAGTGAACTCGTCGTTGTGGTGCACCTTGTTCGGTCAGTGGAATTCCTTCAGGTGGGTAGGCAAAGTCATAAAGGTGACATGTCTCGTTCTCCATGCCATGGTCGTCCCCGTTCTCTGAAATAGAAACACCTGCCGCAGGTATGTCATTGGTTGCAGCTCCACTTGAATCAGCTGCGTCGGCTGCAGGTGAGTCCTTGTCCATTCCTCCAGCAGGGGTACTGCATACTTGGTGTCCAGTTGGCATATCGGTTGATGACGCGGAAGAGGATGGGGAGGACGGAAAAGGATCGAACTCATGCTCAATTTCTTCTCCCCCTGAAGTCCACTCCGCAACGTGGGGTGAGACTTCATCGACATAGCGTTGACGTTCGAGGAGAGAGTCTGCGTCCGGCAACATGAGGTCATCAAAGAAGCGAGCAGACCGAGTGTCCGTGTCCACGTCACTTGCCATGTCCCGCACGATCCACGCTTTCCGAACGTTGGAGATGCCGAGGAACATGCCAGCTCGGCCTCTCTGCTCAAACTTGCCAAAGCTGCCTTGTGGAGGAAGGTAATAGCAGAGGCAGCCAAAGGTTCGTGCCATGGACACGTCCGCAGGTTTCCCCGTCATCATATAGTACGGTGAGTGCGCAGATGGGTTGCTGCTGCAGCTGATGCGGTTGTGTAACCATGTAGCGTACTCAAGCGCGTACGGCCAGAAGGTGGAGGAGAGGCTGGCCCCGGTAGTCATGGTCCGCACTTTGTCCATGAGTGTGCGGTTAACCCGTTCCGCGACTCCATTCTGCTGAGGGGTGTGCGGTAACGACGTTTCGTGGATGACGCCGTGGGAACTCAAATATTCTGTGAAGGCGTTTGCTGTATACTCCCCCCCGTTGTCCGTGCGCAGGGTAGCCAGCGGCTTTGTAGGCAGCTTAGTCTTCATTTCGCGGTGCCATGCCGTGAAGACAGCTTGCATGTCAGATCGGCGAACTAGCGGCGCTACCCACAAGTAGTTGGTAAAGTCATCCTTGAGCGTCAGGACGTAGCGAAGTGAGGGGTGGGCGTCACCCAGGTCCATGATGTCGCTGTGCACGAGCTCCAAAGGGCGACTTGACCGCTTCTCATTTCCTGTAGGAAAAGGGGCTTTGGTCATTTTTCCTCGCAAGCAAGAGTCACACGGGGGCTTCAGAGGGTTGGTTTTGTCAGAAATGGTAAGCCCTTCAATGTCACCATTCCGAAATGTGGCATCCATGGAAGCGTATGACGGATGCCCCAAACGCTTGTGTGCCATGCGGTATGTGACAGATGCGTGTGCAGAATGGCCACTCAAGTGTATTTCAGGTGTGCGGAAATCTGAGCTTCCGTGTGTACCGAAGTGCACTCCCAGTGTGCAGAGAGTTGTGTCCCCTTCACCACCATGCGCTTTCGATGATGCATCATCACGGGAAGGACCAGGACCATGGGCGGATGTAAGTGCAGGCTCATACTCCACCATGAGTACCCCATGCATGATGATCCCAAGTCCAATGCACACATGCTCATCTCCATCCGCCATTGTGATCGCTGTGTGCCCGTCAGTACGCGTACGAATCTGTGCACCTTTCTTGTACAGTTGGCAGTATGAGAGGAGATTGGATTTCAGGCCGGGTACGTAGAGAACGTCAGTGTAGCGAACTGTTATCCCATCCGGTGCCGTTGCCCTGACCGTTCCCATCATCGTGCTGCGCAGTTGGCTTCCATCAGCAAGCTCCACATTCACAGGGTCGGCCAGCTCCTTCAGCTCTTCAAACCAGCGCTTGTCCGAAGTCATGTGCTGGCTGCATCCGCTGTCTAGCAGCCAGAAAGACCTTCCAGCCGAGGGTAAGGTTGCTTGTGATGATCGCACCGTTGCAATGCAGGTAATGGTGCGTTTGTTGTCTCCTTCGGCTGCCCCTTGTTGTTGTGACGCACTTTGGTCATGCTTGGGACTGCCACTCCTTCGTGGAGAGGACGAACGGTTGTAGTTGCTGCGTTGGTTTGTTCTCCCTCGGGTAGGAGATTCCCACCCTGGTGGTGACCAATTTGGAGGTGCCTTGGTGCACTTGTAGAAGGGGTGGCCTGGCTCCTTACAGTACCAACACACGAGAGTTGAGCGACCCGCACCTCCATTCTTGCCTTGCATTTTCTCCCCAACTGACCCATGCCGCTCTTTTGGTGACCACGCCGAACCCATCTCATCATTTCCGATGTTTCCCGTAGCATGTGGAGAAGGTGAGTGATCTCCACGGGCTTGTCCAGCCATGCGAGGTGGACGCGGGTCACGATTCGCCTTGGTAATGAGGTCTTGATATCTTTGCTCTCGAATCATCATCCGCTGCAAAGTGAAGCTGTCCGTTACGTTGTGTAGCATTGCCGAGTGCCTCATCTCCTCCCAATGTGCCGGTAGTCCGGTGAGCAGATTTAAGGTGAATGTGTCCTCATCCACCATCTTTCCCGCCAACGCCAACTTGTCCCGAATCGCCGTTGCGCGGTTCACATACTCCTCCACCCTCTCTTGATTCCCCATTTTCAGGTTGTCCAACTGCTTCATGAGAGAGACCTTCGCCACCGAATCTTTGGCCTGGTAAGTGTCCATCAAATACTCCCATGCTTCATAAGCCGGGCTGTAGGATTCCTGGAACATGTCTAGCTGTAGTTGAATCGTGGCGCTCACGCTGTGCAATAGGACCCAAAAGGCGAGTGCCGCACGCTGGGAGTAATCCGCCTGTAGCATTTCCAGCCGCCCCATAGCGTCGTCAATGTCACCATCTCCCATGGTAACCGGATACTGCAGGGTCACAAAGAACTCCCACAGATTCGTGACGCGGGCGTTCATACGAAACCGTAGTGCCCATTCGCGGAAATTTGAGCCGTCAAACGGAGTGGTGGTGAATGCCTTGTCCACCGTTGCTCCCACCATTTTGCGTGACAGTCGTTCCTTGTCTTCGTCCGTATATTCACGTGGTGCGGGGTCGAAGAGAGTAGGCATGGTTGACGGTCGAGGTAGCTGTACCGTGCGCCGCATATCTCCATTCTGTCCACCAAGTTGACGTTCCAGCACTTCCACTTGATCCCGTCGCATGACACCACTTGACTGCATTCCGTACCCCATCCGCCCCATGCTGCCCACAGAGTGTGCGCTAATTGGTGGACGATGTGCACGCGGAGGGATGATGTTGTCGCCACGAAGGTGAGACCTGGGCATGGGAAGAACTCCAATGGGATGAGAGTTAGTCGCAAGTCGTCGTAGTGGGGGAGCACCAATAGTGTAGGAGGCAAATCCCACACCTTCCACGCCCACTTGACCATTTCCGTCATTCTGCTGGCCAATCTGTCCACTTCTCATTCCACCATATAATGCGTTCCCATACTCATCATTCCTCCCCCGCGCTTCTCTTTGCATGGATGATTGAGGTGCGGGATTGGCGCTCCCCCCTCCTTGGACGGATGCATCCCTCCCTTGGGATGACTCTCCTCCTTGGGGTATGCTCATTTCCCCTTCACCATCAATTCCTGCAACGACATTGGAAGCATGCGTTTGGTTAGTACGAGGAGTGCTTGAATGCGACTGTCCATGAGTGGACGGATTGCTCAACGAGTGTGCGGTTGTTGGCATGTTGAACTTGACTCGCAGTGATGCCTGCAGTGCTGGTGGTGCCCTTGAGATCATGTTTTCCAGGTGCTCATGCTGGGCCAAGATGGCTTCTTCAAAAGCCGCATATCCAGCATCCACTTCGTCATCGAATTGCGCCATGATCAAACCGTACACCAGGTGTGCGCTACACGCGCAAGATAACTTCAGAAGTGAAGACCACGTGTACGAAAGCGTATACTAGGTGCCTGGTACTCTGAGCGTTTGCAGGTACCTATCCGAAGGGAATTCCAGCAACTTTATAGACCAAATTTGGCAGCATGCCCCCTAGAGTTGCTCTGATACCATGCTAGAAAGGCATAGTGCCAGCGTAGAGGAAACGTGTTTGTAGAAAGAACAAGATAGAACTCTTGCACTGGAAACGGATTGAGAATTTGATGGATTTTAGGCAATACAAGCAAGCTTGATATAGCATGCATGATCTAATGATGGAAAGTGCTACGTGAGAGACCAAAAGTAGAAGCAAGAGAAGTAGAGTGCCAGATGGCACAAGGAAATCAAGGAGGATAAGGATAAGGGTGAGTTGGAAAGTACTGTTCAAAAGGGAACAGTAAATCCCCCCCCTTATCATGGAGGCTTATAGAGGGGACTACACTAAAACCAAACAGCACACTGGTATACAGTATTCGTTATACTGTATTCGGATTTCCAACAGATCAGATGTGTTTCTCACCATGAGATCTCTCAATAAGCTTGGTGTTGAGGAAAGTGCATCATTAGATACACAGCAGAGGCAATCATGTACATTTCAATGGTTTCTGTGTGACTACAACCTAGCATACTGAGCTTTAATATGGATAGGGCACTGACAGCAACAGCAGAGATCCTACCAGAAAATGCTCTGGCTCTACACCAGGGACTAGCACATGCCAACCTTCATAAACAACGCTTACTCAAGGCAGCAGCTACTGGTACTAAAAGAATGCACTTGTGGTGACTTCTCCTCCCAAATGCATCAACACAAGTACCGTAAACAAAACAGAGAAACGCTGCTGCAAGGTTGCCTGGACAGCAGAGGAGAAAGGGCTGCTGTTCACATGCCACGCACAACCAGCACCACACCCTCACCGCTACACATTCTTTCACTCACTCAGCCGTGGCTCAGTCTGTAGTCAACTCCTTCCTGCTTTCTCGTCCTCAACTTTCCCCCTCCTGCGTCCCACCCTGGGTGCCCCACCTTACTCCACTGCCCCCTCCTCCCCTGGTAGCTGTGCCGCCGCCCCTCTTCCACTCAATTATCTCCACTGCGCCTTTGCCCCCTCATTGCTTCATCTAAGCATAACCCCTTACCGACTTCAGTGCCCACTCAACCAGCATCATCATCAACTCACACATCTCCAGCTCCTCCTCCTCTACCCTCGCCCATGCAAGCTGCTTCCCACCCCTTGCACCTGCCTTCCCGACCCTCACCCTCACCACCACTACCATACCCCGTATGCTCCGTACTCGGCCCCCTTCCTTGCCACTGACCGGCATCCTCTTCTTTCCCACCTCATCCAACTCCTCCTCCCCCCTCGCCCCGGCCAGCTGCTTCCCACCCCATACCTGCCCCCCTTACCCTCACTCCGTACTTGGCCCCCCTTCCTTGCCAAACTGCAGCCTCCTGACCGGCGTCCTCATCTCGCTGACCTCATCTAACTCCTCCTCCTCGGCCCTCGCCCCGGCCAGCTGCTTCCAGTGAGATATCCTGCTCTTGAGCCACTGCACCTCCTTGTTGGCGACATTCTTCGACGCCTCATTGACGATTGACCGCACCCGCGTGGCGTAGCTGCGCGAAACAAAGGGAGAGAAGAGGAGGGGAGGCAGGGAGAAGAGGGAGCAGAGAAGAAGGAGGAGAGCAGGGAACCTGTTGCTATCCTGCTCTTGAGCCACTGCACCTCCTTGTTGGCGACATTCTTCGACGCTTCATTGACGATTGACCGCACCCGCGTGGCATAGCTGTTCGGGAGGAGAGGGAGGGATGCGGAGGGGAGAGAGGGAAAGAGAGTGTTGCTACCCTGCTCGTGGGCCACTGCTGAGAGGTTCTTCGACGTCTCGTTAACAGTTGATTGCACCCAAGTGGCACAGGCAAGGAGGGGGGGGCGGCAGAGAGGGAGGTAGACGCTCATGTTCGTGAACGTCTCCCCCACGGATGTGAACCTAGACGAGACTCACAACTGCCTTGCGCGAGTCTCGTCCAGGTTTCCATCGGCGGGAGAGGCATCCACAAACATGAGCGACTTGGCTCAAAACACCCTGTACCATCACATCACCTCACTGTCACCAAACCCACACTCACGCGAGCGAGTTGTGCGTTTTCAAGCACACGCCCTCCTCACCAAACCCCACACTCCTCCTCCCCCCCCCCCCCCTCCCCCTCCCCCCCCCCCTCCCCCCCCCAAACTACTCACGTGAGCGAGTTGTGGGTCTCGTCGAGGTTCCCATCCGCTGGCGAAATATTCACGAACATGAGCGTCTTGGCGTTGCCGCCCAGCGAGTCGCTCATGAGCATCGTGAGCTTGTGGTTGCGGTACGGGATGTGCCCGCCGCCCTGCGCCAGCGCACTGATCACGTCCCCCAGAGCCGACAGGGACTTGTTGATGGATTGCGCTTCTCTGAGCTGCTCTCCCTCGGAGCGTGACTTCTTGACCCGCTCTGATCCCGCCAGGTCCACAAAACTCAGCTGGAGGTGAGGGGGGGTGGAGAGAGTGGAAGGAAAGAAAGAAAGGGAGAGGGGAGAATGGGAAAATGGGGGAGGGAAGGAAAGGGAGCGGGGGCAGTGGAGAGAGGGGGAAGGGAATAGGGAAAAGGAGAAGAAAGAGGGAGAGGCAGCAAGTCGTTGATGCACAGTTTTCCATCAACAAGTCGCACTCTGGTCTTCATCTTTTGGATTCAGGAGAGATGAGGAGCAGAGTGCGACTTGTTGATGCACTGGGCTTCCTTCGGCTACTCGCCCTCTGACAGCGACTACCCTCGACCCCACCAGGCGCACAAGGCTCATCTGAAAGGCGGGAATTCTGGATGAGGAGAACAATCGGGTAAAAGGGGTAACTCGGGGTGGCAAGTTAGGGGGGGTATCAGCAAATCGAGTTACACAAAAGAAGAAAAACACACACATACACGCCCCCACACTCACACACAGACACTCCCACACTCTCACCTTTCCGCGGCACACGTTCTGCGTCTGCAGGTCGGTCGTCTCAATCACGATCGACAGCACCAGGTGCGACCGAGAGCTCTCGGCGTTCATCTGCGTGCCGGCCACTGCCCTCCTCTCCATGCCCCCCTGCACCACCGCCTCCAGCTGGGACAGGTACTGCACCTCGATGAGAGTCGCATTCTCCACAACGACCATGCCCTGAGGAGGGGGGAACAAGTATAACACATGGATACAGGGATATATCATTGCAAATGCGAACCCAGTATGACACAGCCACATGCTACATGATATGATACATGCTACAGTCATATGTTCCATGCTACAGGCACAAGGCACATGCTACATGATTCGTACCTTGGCATCCTTCTTGATCTCCAGCTTCCTCTTGGTGGCACTCTTTGGCAGCAGGAGATCCTGCAGCGTGTCCTGATAGAGCTCCAGCATGTACACCTGGAATGGGAAAGGTTGGCCCGGATGAGTGAGCGAGAGTGAGTGGGTTGCCATTCACACTGAGCAGCAGCAGGTCCTGATAGAGTAGGGGAAAACGAAGAGCAATACAGGGCAGAACAGAAGAGGGAGAAACAAAGAGCAATACAGGGCAGAACAGAAGAGGGAGAAACGAAGAGCAATACAGGGCAGAACAGAAGAGGGAGAAACGAAGAGCAATACAGGGCAGAACAGAAGAGGGAGAAACGAAGAGCAATACAGGGCAGAACAGAAGAGGGAGAAACGAAGAGCAATACAGGGCAGAACAGAAGAGGGAGAAACGAAGAGCAATACAGGGCAGAACAGAAGAGGGAGAAACGAAGAGCAATACAGGGCAGAACAGAAGAGGGAGAAACGAAGAGCAATACAGGGCAGAACAGAAGAGGGAGAAACGAAGAGCAATACAGGGCAGAACAGAAGAGGGAGAAACGAAGAGCAATACAGGGCAGAACAGAAGAGGGAGAAACGAAGAGCAATACAGGGCAGAACAGAAGAGGGAGAAACGAAGAGCAATACAGGACAGAACAGAAGAGGGATAAAACGAAGAGAGCAATACAGGCAGAACAGAAGAGGGATAAAACGAAGAGAGCAATACAGGCAGAACAGAAGCGGAGAAAACGAGGAGCAAACATCCGCGACGCAAGAAAACCGCCCTTCCCACCTCCAGCTTGAAGCTCATCCGCCCGGCCTCCTTCCTAAGGCAGTTAAAGAGCTCCTGCATGGCGCGCGGGGTGAGCCCCGAATTGTGCCCCCATTCACCCCCCTCCTGCTCCCTTCCTCTGCTAACTCTAACCCCAGAAGGGCAACCCACCTGCAGCTTGTAGCTCATGCGCCCAGCCTCCTTCCGGACGCAGTTGAACAGAACCTGCACGGCGCGCGGCGTGAGGCCCAGGTTGTGACCCCCTTCATCCCCCTCCTGCTCCTCTCTCTGACACCCCGTCACACCTCTACCAACCACGCAAGCAAACAGCCCTCCCCACCTGCAGCTTGTAGCTCATGCGCCCAGCCTCCTTCCGGAGGCAGTTGAACAGCTCCTGCATGGCGCGCGGCGTGAGCCCGGGGTTGTTGTCCCCTCCGTAGATGGTGAAAGTTTTCCCGCTGCCCGTCTGCCCGTACGCGAATATGCACACGTTGTAGCCGTCAATGGCTGACTGGATGAGGTACTGCATGGGGGGAGAGCATAAAGGGCACAAGGCAGGGGGCAGAAAAAGAGGGTGAGAATGGGACGGGTGCGTTGATAGGAAAATGCCCACACTGTACCCGTCAATGGTCGAATAGATCAGGTACTGAAGTGGGGGAATGAGGTGTGGGGGGTGGGGGGGGAGAAAGGAGGAGGAGGACGGAGGATGCAGCAGCAGCGAAGTGGAAACAAGATGCACATATTGTTCAAATCCTCTTACCTGAGTGTCTTAAAAACGGCCTTTTGAGTGGCGGTGTGGTCGAAGACCCGGTCAAACTGGTACTCCTTGGGCTGGCCAGGTCTGAGTGGGTCCTTCCAGGGGTGCTGCAGCGTGAACTCATCTGGCATCTCCAGCACCATGCGCTCTTGCATGGCCGTAACACCAAACCCCCTGGCGAATGCGCCTCAGATCCCTCTACTGCCATCCCTTAGTGCTAATTGAATCAACTCAGCAGCCCTCTTACCCGTGTGTCTTCAAAGACGGCCTCTTGAGTGGCGGTGTGGTCGAAGACCCGGTCAAACTGATACGCCTTGGGCTGGCCAGGTCTGAGCGGGTCCTTCCAGGGGTGCTGCAGCGTGAACTCGTCCGGCATCTCCAGCACCATGCGCTGCCCCTCGCCCCGCTCCCTGCCACTCAGCGGCCGCCACCGCGCATACACCCGGATCTTGCCCTTCATGTCTGCGCATGCGCAAGGGAGACGAGGGGGGGAAAGGAAGGAGGGCGCGGAAAGGGATGGGGATAGGGTTGGGAGAGGGGGATGCAGATAAGGTATGGGGATGAGGGAGGAGGAAGGGGGGAGGAGTTGACAGCATCATAAGACTGTGAAGGGGAAGGGGTGAACAGGCCCTTTCCAGGGTTGTTGTAGCGTGAGCTGTCACCTCCTCCACCATGCGCTGCCCCTCGCCCCAGAAGAGGAACTGGAAAGCGGTTCAGGGCACAATATACTCCTAAATGTCGCTCCCTGCTGCGCAATGGCCGCCACCGCACACACATACGGATTTTGCCACAAATTTCTAGGTGTGGGCTGGAGAGGGGAGGACAAGCGGGAGGGGTGGGAAAAGCGGGATTGGGATACGGTGGGGCGGATGCATGGAAGGGACGGGACGGGGAAAGGGAGGCGGAGGGGTTCAGGGCATCAACAAGCATCGACCCACGCCCAGCTCACTCTAATCCCGCTCACCCTCCATCATGTGAGCCCCAGCACAGCCACACACCACTCTTACTAACTCACCCCCCATCATGTTGTAGTAGCGCTTCCGCAGCAAGATCTCCTCCTTATACGCCCTTCCACGCATGCACTTTTTGAATTCTAGGCCCCAGCGCTCACTCCCATCCCATGCCCCACCCCACTCACCCTCCATCATGTTGTAGTATCTCTTCCGCAGCACGATCTCCTCCTTATAAGCCTTCTCCAGCTCCGCTATTTGCTTGCCCTGCCGCTGTATCACCTCCAGATTCTCCACCCGATTCCTCTCCATCTCCTGCAACACAGTAACGGGAATAGACACAAAGACCATTCTTCATGAAAAGGTACAATAGCAGGAAAAAAAACTACACACACAATAGCATACACACAGCATGGTTTTAACCTACACACAAAAAAACTCACCTCCTTCATCTCTCTCAGTTCATCTAACTCCTTAAAGAACTCCTCCAGGTGCTCCGACTGTGCCTCCTTCTCCTTCACCTCCTCCCGCAACTGCGCCTCCGCCGCCCGGCTCTCCTCCAATCGCTGCTCCGCAATCGCCAGCCTGGCGGCCAGCTCATCCCTCTCTGCTGACGACCGCAGATCCAAGGCCTTGATCTGGCGGGCAAAAAAGCAGCAAGGCGGGAGGATTAGATGAAGAAGGCAAGAAGAAAGAAAGGCCGGAGGGAGGAGCAAGTGAGAAAGTGAGAAAGGGTCAAGTGAGAATCAGTGAAGGGCATCTTCAGTGACCAACTGATAGAAGTAAACAGGGTGGCGCATTCACATGGAAAGTAGGAAAAGAACAGACGAGCGAGAGGAGGGGCACAAGGAGAGCTTCCAAAACCACAGATCCTCACCTCGTTGTCCTTTGTGAGCTCCAGATTTGCCAGCTGCTTCTCCAACGCCTGCTTCTCCCTCGCAGCTGCCTGCGCCTGCTCCTCCACCCTCCTGCTCACAGCCTTCAACTCCTCCTGCACCTCCTTCAGCTGGCAACACACAGCATGCAAGACAAAGGCAAACAGAGAGAAGGAAATGAACGGTGTGTGATGTTGAAACGTCGCCTGCCTTCCTGTTTTTCCAACCCGCCCGACCTTCTACTCCACCTGTTTTCAGCTAAGCAACATTGTTGGTCAGGGAAAAGCATGAGAATGCAGCCAGCCAAGACGGGAGAAGAGGGGCGTTGCAATGCAGCATCACTGAGGCTGATCCTTGGCTCGCACGCTGCGCTTGTCCCTAAATCTAACCACGCACTCACCTGAGACTCCAATGCTCGTGTCCTGGCGTCATTCAGCAGACTCATGTTGCTGCCTGTGCTGCCAAGCCCGTCCCTCCGCCTCACGTTCCCTGGTGTTATTGACCCAGACGACAGCGCTGCTTCCCTGCCCGGCTGATTCGCCATCTGTGGGTGTGAGGAGGTGGAGGGAGAGAAGCACGCAGCAGGTGAGAAGTATTTGTGTCAGTTCTATAAAATTGGACTAGTACACACTAGAGGCGAAGGTCCGCTTCTTTAAAACACTTCCATGGGTGAAGGACCCTGGAATATATGCAGCTCCTTACCAGGCTAATTCGCCGTCTGTGCACGCCCTGTTTGCCACCTTTCCTGCCTCAAGGAATTCCTCACCGGCGCCTCAATATCCCATCATCCCACACTCCCCATCCCACAACCAGCATCAAGTACTCCTCATGCCACAGCCCACATCCCACCCTCCGCATCCCACATCCCGCATCCCCTCAATCCCCCGCCCTCTCACCTGCAGCATCTCGGCCAACCTATCTCTCTCCTCCACCACCTCCTCGTTCGCCACCTCGCCCTGCCTCAGCGCCTCCCTTACTGCCTGCAGCTCGCTCTGCAACTTCGCCTCTGCTGCTGCCCGCGCTGCCACTTCTTGGTTCAACTGGGGGTTGAAGGATAATGGCGGGAACAGGTAAACCAAGGCAAACGGGACACACAAGGGATAAGACGAGCGTCCAATGAAATGCAATGGACCTCTATCCTGCCGATAGTAGAAACTGCAACAAGAACCGAAAGACAAAATATGACGAATCAAGACACATGGGAGAGGAGAATAGAAGCGTGCATATGGGCAAGATGAAGTTTATTCCTGGCTCGTTAAAGGGAAAAAAGTAAAACATGCGGTTACGCTAAAGCTGCTGGCGAAAAGCATGGAGAGAGGCAGCTGCTAGGGGAAAATGCTGGAAGAGACGCAACAAGGCAGACAGACAGGTCTCTCTACCTGTTCAATGTGCATAAATGCCCTGGTCAAGCTCTCTGAAAGCTCCTTCGTCCGATGCTCATACTCCGTAATCGGGTGCGGCCCCTGCCCCTGCCCCTCCCCCAACACCCCTCCTCCTCCTCCTCCACCCGCCGAAATCCCTTCCCCAGCCGCCCCACCACCCCCAGCAGGCCCCAACCCAAGCATCGGCGCGTTGTGCTGGCGCGCTCTTTGCCTGGCGAAGCGACGGGTCAAGGCATCGTTGATGTGCGTCTGGATGGCGAGGCAGATCTCCTCCCCCTGTGTTGTCTCGAACTGGAAGACGTGCAGCGAGCCCACCACACGCATCTTGAAGAAGACCGCGGCGGGGCTGCTGCCAAACTGCATGATGTCCCGCAGCTCTGCTGAATGCAGGTACTCTTTCGGGACAGGTCTGAAGAAGTGGACCTGTAGTGGGGAGGAGGGGGTGGGTGTGGGAGGTTCGGAAAGGGAGGGGGCAGGACTTCTGTGCTGAAGAAAGGCCTAAGCCAGCCAGAGAGAGGCAGATCTCCTCTCGCCCTTGGACATCTCGAACTGGAAGACATGCAGCAAGCCCACCACGCGCATCTTGAAGAACACCGCTGCAGGGCTGCTGCCAAACTGCATGATGTCCCGCAGCTCCGCTGAATGAAGGTACTCTTTCGAGAAGGGCCTGAAAAAGTGGACCTGCGGAGGGAGGGAGAGTGTGTGTGGGAGGTTCGGGAAGGGAGGGAGAAGGACAGCAATGCCTCTACTCGTGTGAGACGCACTGAAAGAATCACTTAAAGAATCCTAACAGCGCCTCACATATGCCGAACAGCCTAACAGAGAGGAAAATATGTGAACCGGAAATCAGACCCACATCAGGGCAGAGTGGGGCATCTTACCCCGCGCTTGTTGATGCCAATAAGCACTCGCCCGGGGAGCAGCCCGATCGGGTCTTCGATGCGCCTCACATGGTAGAATGCAGACCCGCCATAGGGGAGAGCTCGGATGATTCTCAACGTCTGCTGCCTCGCATCTTCAGGCGTTAGGTGCGACTGCAACACAGGATAGAGTTGAAAGGGACGAGATAACAAAGCAAGAAGGCAGTAGAATAAGTAGACGTGTCATAACAAAAGCTGCATCATGCCCCTCGATTCAATGTTCAAATTATCCTCAATATCCGCTGCCTCCTATCTGCAAGTGTCAGGTGTGGCTGGCTGGCAGAATCGTGTAAAAGTGGAGGAACAAGGCAATAGCAGATAGAGTGAGTGAGATGTGTCTCTCTACTCGAGGCTCCTAAACCAAGGCGTTGAAAATCGTGCCTATTAGTGTCCCCTGTTCAGAACCCCGAGGGCTCTGAATCAATATCAGCTGGTGTGGTAGAGAAATTGCGCAGAGGCAGCACATGGGCGAGCGGTGGTCGACGATGTGAGACACTCAAAGCAAGTGTGCGTCAAGCAATAGGAGGGCGGGGCTTCCAGGCGCATTGAACGAAGAGCCGGCTTACCAGAGCCTTGTAGCGAGTGAGGACGTCCATGTCCCACTCGCGCTTCTGCCTCATGGGCTGGAACTGCACTGGGATAGTCCGCTCCACCTGCGCTTGCCAGTCGCTGGAAGAAGATGGATTTGGGGGGATTGAAAGAGGAAACGAGGGAGGAAGGGGAGGAGGGAGGCAGAGAGGGACGGAGGAACGGAGAGAGGGAGGGAGAGAGGGAGGGAGGGAGGGAGGGAGGGAGGGAGGGAGGAATGGAGGGAGGGAGGGAGGAGGGAGGGAGGGAGGGAGGGAGGGAGGGAGGGAGGGAGGGAGGGAGGGAGGGAGGGAGGGAGGGAGGGAGGGAGGGAGGAAGGGAGGGAGGAAGGCGTATGAGCATTGAAGATCTAAGGTCCACAAAAAGACTTTCTCAGCAGAAAAAGGATCTTCCCAACACAACCTCCCCATGCACCCCATGCAAACGAACTCACAGTGTGACCTCAGGCTCAGGAAGCAAGCCGAAGTCCACAATCAACTGCAGCGCCGCCAGCTGCGCCACGTCATCCCTGGGCACGGGGTAATTCCCCTCCTCATAGTCCTGCTTCGCCTGCAGATACGACAGCTGCACGAACACTTGGTCTGTGATCGCCTCCTCGTTCTCCCTAAAGAACTTCTTGCGAAAGAGGAGGCGCAGCTGCACTTGCCGCTCGCTCTTCTCTCTGAAACTCATGAGCTCCGCCATCACGTCCCCCATGTAGGCTTTCTCGTCGATCCCCATATAGTCGTCTGCTCAATGAAAGAAATTAATAATGTCAATATGAGGCATTACAAGCAAGGCTGTATACAAGTGCGTCATTCAATCACTTACTGTCTGGACCGACTCACAGTACGCACGGAACAGACAAAGGAACTTACTGCTCTGGATCGAGTCTGAATCAAGTTTAAACCAAATCTGAATCAACTCTGCCCATGTCCCGTACCTGTGTCTCTAGGACTCTAGGAGGCTAGGACTCTAGGAGGCTAGGACTCACTGGTCACGACTTCTTTTGTAACTCACTGGAAACGTTCTCTGAATTGTTGTTGGCGAGAGTGATGTATTTTCTGTGCTCGTATAGCCCGAAGGTCTGGAACTCCTCCAGGCGAATGCTGGTTGCAACTCTCTGCACAGAGACATAACAGTCACATGGTCGCACAAATATGTTTTGCTGTTTAATGAAAAGCAGAGAGACCCACAAAGAAACCTGGTGCTCAGCGTCCTTCAAAGTGGCTCAGAAACAGAAGCATCTCAAACGCAGACGCGTCTCAAAACCAGAGGGACAACTCTTCTCGCGCTACAGTCCAACGCCTCTACAGTCCCATGCGCACCTCCAGAATCTCCGCGGCGGTCGTGGACGCGTCGTACCCGACCTCCTCGAACGTATCATCCAGAAAGAACACCATCGTCTTGAGCGCACGGCCCGTCATCAGCGCCAGCAGCTCATCGACGGTCGGGATCGTCTTCCTCGCGCCGATCTTCATCGCCTTCTTCAGCGCGTGCCACGTGGCGAGCGCCTGCGACTTCACCTCCTCGTCCACCCCCGCATCGTTCGCGATCTCATGCACATATTCGGTAATAGGCGTCCCGAGATACGCCCCAGGCGGCGCCACCGACGCGCACAAATGCATCACCTCCCACGCCCGCAAACACGCCTCCCTGTCGTGATTATTCCGCGTCTGCTTGTGCAGCTGCGCGTATAACTCCTCCCGCATCTCTGGCTTTCGAAGAACCATTTTGAGGATTCGCACCAGCGTCTGCGCCAGCTCGCGTTCGTCTGTGATCGGCGCGCCGTTGAGCCCCATGTAGTGCAGAATGTCTTGGAACATTCGCACGGCTTTTGTCTGCAGGTCCGTGGGGAGCCGCGTGAGCGAGGTCGGGATGGGATCCTGCAGGAACGGCACCAGCGGGAGGCACAGAAGGGTACACAGAGGATTTCGTTGAAAGCGCACGGGACTAGATCATTACTCATACCCGGAACGAGATTTTGAGAGAAGCTTTCGTGAAGCATCTTTGTCGGTACGGTTCCTATGTTATCGCCCACGAACCCCTTCATCCTACCCTTTGAAAGCTCAGCATGTCTTCGAAAATCGCTCGGTCGGAGCCGTCGTGCGCGCCAGGAGTCGCATGTTGTCGCCGGCCCAGCAGGCTGCGACGGGCTGCGACGGACTGTCGCTGCACCGCCTTGAGGTAGTGCTCCACGTGGTACAGCTCGCTGATTGGAAAGCTCGTAAGGCTGCTGCCAGCGGCCGGCCTGCATGAGAGAGCAACAGGTGGGCAAAGCGGACAGACGAACAGACGGGGGAGAATGAATTGATGAGAAGACCCAGCGGGGGGTGAAGCGGCCAGAAGAAAGAGCCCCGTCGTGGTACAGCTCGCTCATGGGAACGGTTGCGAGGTTGCCGCCTACAGCCAACCGATGCGACAAGGGAATAATCAATTATTTCTCACGCTAGGGAAGGAAGTGTACGGCCGGCATTAAAGGCAGATAGGATGCTGTGGAAAGGCTGCAGGACGAGTAACTGAGCTAAACCGCACGAATCTACGTTAAATCTGACAGAAAGATGCATTTCGTACCTTGAGAGCACTTGAGCTGAGACAGAAGAGCAATCAGGCGACTCGAGCTGGCTCGCAGCAGCCTCCAGCTGACTGTTCTGTGCATTCGGTAGCTCCCTCATGACATGCCTGCCGTTGGAAAGGTCAATCACTCATGTCAGGGACAAGGTTCCGGGTAACTTTCGGAACAGCAAGCTTAGAACTCCAGAAGATAATAAACAAATTGGAGCGTTGGGAGGCGGGAAATAGACATTACATCATTACTCGACTAGTATTCTAGTTGCTCCTCCACTTACTTCTCTACGATGGTAATTCCCCCGCTATGGTACCCCGCATCCATCTGAGACCGCAGGTTGAGGGGAGTCACGGGCCTGGTCCCTGACTCCGAGGAGTAGGTCGATCCGACCATCCTGGAAACGCTGCGAACAGAGCAACTCGAACGTTCTTGTCGCTGTACGCTTGAATCAACAAACGTAGCTAGATTTTTCCCTGACAAAAGAACGACAGTGAAATGCTTTCTAATCGGGTTCTTCACGAAAGATCAACGGGGGAGGAGCTAAATCTAGAACTAAAAAGCAGTCGCTTCCTAAGATAAGAACCCGAAATGTTACCGCGATAATCCTAAGTAAGGTAGCACCCCTCGCTCCGCCTTCTTCAGCGTTGTTTCTAGTCGAACGTGGTCATTATGCTCGTTGATCTTTAGAACGAAGGAACTCGTAAAATGAATGTCCCCATCAACAATAATCCCTACGATGTAAAAATCTTATTGCGTACTCGACCTTAGCGAACGCCATGGCTGACTGTAGGGGAAATCGCAAACTCTCGCTGACAAGCTAAAACGTCTCCGGAAGTCCGACCCGATTTCAGACTAGTAAGCAGACAAGCATTTGCGAAAGCCGGCGAAATCGGTTAACCTGCACGACGAGACGGGACAGTTTCGACGCCGTTGGATTCGAGAGCCGAATTTCTTGAAGACAGGAAAGCCGTCAAGCTGAGAGTCACTAGGCGTGCTTCGAAGATCGGGAATGGCAGGACGCGACAGCACACAGGGCTTGGATGAAAGCAAGGCTTGTAATCAGGAATCATGGTTGAAAATTGGTCCATGGTTGGTTGGGAAGGATCGACCGAGGTGGACCATGATTAACCATTCAATAAAGTATAAAACCGAGAGGTGAGACGGAAAAGCCTTGGGTGTGTGACATGATGGAAATCCGAACAGAAGGGACCTCGCCAACGGCATTCCTTGTAGACTGTTTGGGGCACAGGAAGATGATTCTGATGAGTGTCAGGCAGGGAGAGGGTGATGGAAGCAGTGGCGGGAAAGACGTATTGTGCCTGCATGGACCAACGAAGCGCGGTAATTAGAGGATCCCTGGATGAAAAGCATTTTGATAGAATGTTCGCATGGCCGTCCGATTACGCTGACACAGAGCCCGAGGCTGGTGAAAACTCAAGGGTCGAGTCGCGATAACCTCCATTCCTCACAAAAGTGAGTGCCTACTCGTCCTAAGCAGAACCGTTACGGTTCAAACCGTTTGCATTACATCTGTGGTTGGATGTAAAATAAAAATAGATATGTAAATGGGAAAATTATAGAGGCATCATATCATACATTATCTGTTATAATAAGCATATTAAAAAAACCTTTGAACCTATATATGTGAAGCTGAAGCATTTCATAATCTATGTGGTCAATTTTGATTTTCAGTATCACTACTCAGATTGGAATGCTACACTTTAGACAGTATTCGTCGGCAAAATTCAAGGACTTCTGTGGAGAATCTCTACAGCCCAACCGCCCACCCACCAGCCCACTTGCTCCCACAACTTGGTCCTGATTTGTATGGTGCATATCGGTTCAAAGCGGCGAGAAGAAGTAAAGCCTGCTTACCGTGTGGAAGCCTACTGAACCGCACTGGTAAGGGGTTGAGACATTATCATCGGCCTCTTCAGAGCACAGCAAATGTCTCTTTCAATCGCCAAGTGAATTATTCGGCGGGCATCATCCCTCAGGCAACTAGTGCTGTGTGTTCCTGTGTCTGTGACCATAGAAATGCGCCGCTACTTATTTCGCCGTTTGGCGCTCCGTTCGTTGGCTTAGAGCCACGCGCGTCGTATAAGTGATACAATGGTTTAGCGAAAGTTGCGAACGAGCGAAGTATCGTAATTGCGGACAGGCTTCAATTTCCTAGTGGTGCATTCTTAGCGAGCTTGAGAGTTTCAGTCTGCTTTCCCGCGACACATGCTGTTATCGTGGCTAAGACGTTATAACGAGAGGACATTAAGACGAGCATAGGATGCTTCAAATTATCCAATGTGTACTAGCTCGTATTTATAAGCTGTAAACTTTCGGCATGGGGACATTTTGAAAGCAGTTATCGCCGTCGACGAAGCCAATTCCAATGGTAGGCAATTTCCTGCGTAAATTTCTAATAGTATCTTGCGCCGACGCGACAATGGCTCACAGAAGCCAGTACCACTCGCAAGTGTATCTTGGTGGACTTCTTCAAATTAGTTCCACAACGGGGATTATCCTTCCGCGACTTTCGAATTACCTTTTTGGAGATTAACAACTAATTTCTGAAGCCACGTTCGTTCCAGTCTTTGACTCTCCGTGCCCATCGCGTGCCCTTCCAGCCTTAGATTTCCGCCTGCTCTTAACTGTCCGTTCGTCAGCGAGCCGCTGCATGATGTACTGGCATGGCATGCGCACTCGTTACCGACAATTCCGCGGTCAACTTGGTTACCCCACACCTCACACCCACTCGTCACCGTCACTCCAATTTTCATTCTCGCTTCACTCACCCCTCACTTCCCGCATACCCCTCACATGTCGCAGGGCGACCAGGGCGAGGGTCGCCGCGTGTCGCACGGCGACCAGGGCGTGAGCCGCCCCATGTCGGCGGGCGGGCGGCGGAAACCCCCCGCGGAAGGGGGAGGGGAGGTGTCGGAGCTGATGGCGCGCTTCCAGCGGCACAAGCAGGTGCGCTTGTAGGGGGGGGGGGGGTGTGTGGGGGAGAGTTGATGGGGGAAGAAACGCGGAGAGGGGGGGGTAGGTGGGGGAAGGAGAGGTGGAGGTGGCGGAGCTGATGGCGCGCTTTCAGAGGCACAAGCAGGTGCGCTCGTAGCACGGGCGGGGGATGGGGGAAGGAGAATGGTAGTGGCCGGAACGGGCACCGGGAAGGGATGGGGAAAATAGAGGGGGCGGAGAGAGGATAAGGGAGGGGGGAGGGAAAGGGAAAGGATGAAACTTGAGGGGGAGGGTTTTCAAGGGTTGTAGGGTGGATGGTGGCCTGAAGACCCGTGCGTGGTGGCCTGACCAAAACGCACCACCCAAAACGTCTTTTCCATTTCCACCCATCTCCACCCATCTCGACCCCCACATCCCCCCATGTCTCCCCCCTGCAGAGCACCAAGGACTCCTCAGGCCGTCCTCCCCCCTCGCCACTCTCTGCCAGCCCCTCCACGCTTCCCCTCAACCGCTTGATAAAAGTGTTGTTTTGAGACGTCTCAGAACAAATCTTTACCCCCCCATCTCCCCCCCATGTCTCCCCCCCCAGGCCACCAAGGACCCTTCAGGGCCGTCCTCCCCCTTCGCCACCCTCCGCGCCTCCCCTCATCACCACCCATCTCCACCCATCCCCACCCCCTTATTCCCCATGTCTCCCACCCATCAGAGCACCAAGGACCCCTCAGGGCCGTCCTCCCCCCTCACCACCCACCACGCCTCCCCCCATCACCACCCATCTTCACCCATCCCCAATCCCCCATTCCCCCCATGTCTCCCCTCTCCAGAGCACCAAGGACCCCTCAGGGCCGTCCTCCCCCCTCGCCAACCTCCGCGCCTCCCCCTCCAGCCCCTCCGCGCTCCCCCTCAACCGCTCCTCCAGCTGCGCCCTCCCCTCCTCCGCCACTGGGGGGGGCGCCAGCGCGTCCGCGCTCCCCTCGTCCCCCTCCTCCTCCGCCTCGTCCGCCTCCTCCACTCCTAAGCGGCGCTCCAGAGCTGCAGCAGCAGTGGCGGCTGCTGGTGGTGGCGCTGCTGGGGGGGCTGGAGCTGGGGCTGGGGAGGCAGGGGCGGAGCAGGTTTTGCTGCCATCCCCATCCGCTTCTCAGGTATGCTCCTGTTTTTCTACGGGGTAAGGGAGGGAGGGAGGGGGGCTCTGGGTGAAACACGCCTGTGCCGCAGGGCAGGCACGACGCCCTCTCCTTCTCCGCCACTGCAGGGGGGGGGGGGCGCCAGCGCGTCCGCGCTCCCCTCGTCCCCCTCCTCCTCCGCCTCTTCCGCCTCCTCCACTCCCAAGCGGCGCTCAAGAGCTGCAGCAGCCGTGGCTGCTTCTGGTGGGGGTGCTGCCGGTGCTGGTGGTGCTGGGGTTGGGGAGGGAGGGGCGGAACAAATGCAGCTGCCATCCCCATCCGCTTCTCAGGTGTGCTGCTGATGCAAGCGCTTCTGCTGTGGTGCCCAGCCCATTGCCTGTTATGCTGTGCCTATTTCCTGCCTCTCGCATCGTGCGCATTGCAGAGCACAAAAGTGATTCAAATATTTTCTGGTGTACATTACAACCACGTGCGGTGATTGATGGCAGAGCACGGGGAAGGAGGAGCGCGCTCACAAGTCAAGTGGGAAGAAATCCAAAGAGCACAAGGAGGGGAGGGAGCATAAGGAAGGGAGGGAGCATAAGGAGGGGAAGGAGGGGAAGGAGCATAAAGAGCATAAGGAACACAAGGAGGGCAAGGAAGGGAAGAAGTCCTCAAGAGTAGGTCTCCGCTGACCCCTCTCCTTCTCTCTCTTTCTCTGTTTCCCCTTCTCTCCCTGCTCTGCATGCGTTTTCCTATCCCTCTACTCTACGTCTGTACCTGCTTCTCTCCCCACCCTCCCTCCTACTCCTACCCCATACCTCCCTACCCACCGAGTACCTGCCGCCATCCCCCTGACGCCCACTTCTGCTTTCCGCGTACCTGACTTCCTGCTCAATGCTGCTTCTGCGCGCAATGCTGGATCTCCCCCGGTGAATGCTCAATGACGATGGTCCTGGCGCGCGTGCGTGTGTGTGTGCTCGCATGTGCGAGTGGATGTGTGCGTGCGTCTGAGTATGCGTGTGTGTGAATGCGTTTGTGTGTGCATGCGAGTGCAGAAGGAGGCATTAGAGGAGATGCGTGTGGAGGTGGAATCGCTTCGAGCCGAGCTGGCCCGGTGGCAGGGCCGGTGCGAGGAGGGTGAGAGGACCTTCGAGTCAACCCAAAAGGCACTACGAGCAGAAGTGGTGGAGTGGCAGGGGAAGTGCGAGGAGGGCGAGAGGCAGCGAGGCGAGGAGCAAAAGCGCAGAGAATCTGCCGAGGCAGGTCTTGAGGCCTCCCGGTCTGCAGCTGCTGCAGCAGGGGAGGCGGAAGGGGGTGTGGGAGGCGCGGGGGAGGAGGAGAGGAGCGAGAGGAGGGAGAGGGAGGTGGGTCTAGAGGTCCGTGTGAAGGAGCTTGAGGAGCAGGTGCGAGCTGCAGAGGCAGCTCTGGTGGAAGCAAGTGAGCGGGCAGAGAGGGCAATGAGGGAGCGAGAGGAGGGGGAGAAAAGGGTGCTTCAGATGGAGCAGGAAAAGGGAGAGGTGGAGAGGGCGAGGCGAGAGGCAGAGGAGAGGGCTGCAGAGGCAGAGGCACGGGCGGTTGCAGCTGAACAAAGAGTGGTAAAATTGGAACAGAAAGTGGTTGAGTTGGAAGAGAAGATGCGTGAATCTGAGGGGACGGTGAGTGATGAAGGCAGGAGGAGGGTTGAGTTGGAACAGAGAGTGGGGGAAGCGGAAGGGAGAGCAGACGCGGCGGAATCACATGCGAGAGATATGGAGGGGAGGCTGGAGCAGGGGGCTCGGGAGGAGAAAAGCCGAGAGGAGAGGGACAAGGCGAGGAGGGAGGGGGAGAGAGGCAAGTGGGAGGAGGAAAGGAGGGAAATGGAGAGGAAGTGGGAGGAGGAGAGGAGGGAAATGGAGAGGAAGTGGGAGGAGGAGAGGAGGGAAGTGGAGAGGAAGTGGGAGGAGGTGATGCAGGAGGAGGTGGGGCGGAGAGAGGGGAGGATCAGAGAGCGAGAAGAAAGGCTGAAAGCTGTGATGGCAGGGTCTGAGGGAGATGCATGCATGGCAGAGGGGGAGGAGGAGGGGGAGGGGGAGGGGGAGGGGGGAGGGGGAGGGGGAGGGGGAGGGGGAGGACAAGGGCAAGGGCAAGGGCGGGGCGGCAGCAGCACAGGAAGAATCAACGGCTAGTTTGGGAGAAAGAGGACATGGTGAGAGGGAGACGGTTGGTGTTGTCCCTGCTGGTGTGGGCTCTGCTGACGTGGCGGTCTCGCAGCTGCCTGCTGACGTGGCACTGCTGCAGCACAAGCTGGAGGTGGCGGTGGGCGAGCTGAAGAGCCTGCGGGCGGCAAAGCGGGCGGCAGATGCTGAGATCAGCGATCTGAGGCAGACTCGAGAGGACACCATCAGGTGAGTGAGATGGCATGTGATCATTAGAATGACTCTCGCTATCAGGTGAAACATCAGGCGAGTGGTGGAGTTGGAGGGGGGGAAGCAAGGGCTGGAGTTGGAGTTAGAGGAGCTGGTGGGGTGGGCGAGCTGCTGAGAGAGCAGGAGATAGCAGCAGAGGCTAGCATGCTGACATTCATATGCTCTCATCTTATTCCCTCCTTCCCGTGCCCCATCTTCCTCTGTTCCTCCCGTTGTTCCCCTCACCACCAGGCGAGTGGTGGAGTTGGAGGGGGAGAAGCAAGGGCTGGAGATTGCAGCGGAGATTGCAGCGGAGGCGGGCATGTTGACATTCGTATGCTCTCATGATCTCATCTCATTCCCTCCTTCCCGTGCCCCAACCCCCTTCGTTCCTCCTCTTGCCCCTCCATCACCAGGCGAGTGGTGGAGCTAGAAGGCGAGAAGCAGGGACTAGAGCTGGAGTTAGAGGAGCTGGTGAACGAGCTACTGAGGGAGCAGGAGATAGCAGCGGAGGCGGGCATGGTGGCGGAGCAGGAGTGGCAGCGCCGCCAGGAGGCCGTCCGTGCTCTCGTGCAGATGGAGAGGCAGCTCAACAGTGCCGGTGCTGCTGCCGCTGGTGCTGGCGCTGGCGCTGCTGGTGCTGTTGGTGCTGCTGGGGAGAACGCCCTAATGGATGCTGGTTACCAGGTTACAAATGAGTTGGGGCATGCGGTTGTGTCTCCCCCTGGAGGGCTGGAGCCAGCAGCAATGGTAGCGGCGGCGGCGGCAGCAGGAGCAGGGCCGTACCTCAGGAGAGGCCAATCCGACGTGTCAGCGTTTCACAGGCGCATTCCCAGCGGCTCCTCCTTCAAGTTCCTGCAGCAGCAGCAGCAGCAGCAAGGCGCGCTCGACCCCACCCTACTCGCAGACAACCCAGAGGAATCTGACTTCCTGGGCACAAAGCTCCCGGAGATCAAGCGCCGCCTGGAAGCTGCAGCCATCTCGCCCGCCCCCACGCCCTCCTCCTGCCCCTCCCGCGCTCCCGGGCAGCCCGGGCAGCCCGGGCAGGTTGGGAAGCCTGGACACCGCATTTCTCGGTCAGGGTCGTTCAGTGCTACGGCGGCGGCTGCGGTGGCAGCTGCGTTTGCAGGCACGGGGTCGCTGGCTGCTGCTAGAGCCAGGGCGGTGGGCGCCTCTCCTGCTGCCAGCCCTGGCGTGCTCCCTCCTGCCCCAGCCCTTCCTCCTCCCCCTCCCGCTTCTGCTTCTGCAGCTGCTTCTTCTGCCGTTTCTCCTGCTGCGGAGGGGGCAGTTTCTGCTGTTACTACTGTGGCTTCTGCTCCAGCTGCAGTTGCCCTCACTTCTTCTGCCGGTGCCGGTTCATCTGAAGCAACCACCTCATCTGCTCCTGATGGTTCTCAGCCTATCTCCTCTGCTATGCCCTCCTCCGAATCCTCTCTCCCTGCCACCTCTCACACCTCCCTCTCTCGCCCGGCCCGCCCCTCCGGCCCGCGTCTTGTTGGTTTCGCCGACCCCGCCTCTTCCTCTCTCCCGTCAACCGCCACTGCACATTCCCCTGACACACATGCCGCCACCACGGGTGATGCTGCAGCAGTCAACACGGATAGCAGCACAGGCAGCATCACTGCCACTGGTGTTACCACTGCCAGTAATGCTGCTACCGCCGCTGCTGCTGCTGGTGGCACTGCTGCCACTAGTGGTAACCAGCATGGCAAGCTGACAGGCGGCAAGTCAATGCGCGCCGCCCTGCTGGAGCAGATGGGAGCAAGCGAGCTGGCCGACGAGCTGGCTGCCGCCCGGGCGGCGGCTGCTGCCGCCACTGCGCAAGCCGCCCGGGCGGCCTTGGCTGGCTCTGGCAGTCCGGGTGGGGGAGGGCGTGGAGGGAGTGGGGGGAGTGGGGGGATGAGTGGCATGCTGAGCTGGCTTACAGGTGGGCTGGCCGGTCAGGCTGCTCCTGCTGCTGCTGCTGCCACTGCCACTGCTGCAGCTGCTGCCGGTTCTGGCTCAGAGGCGAAGGAGGTGCCGAGGCAGCTAGGTGTTGTGGTTCGCAGGCCGTTTGGCATAGTTCTGACGGGCGAGGAGAGGGCAGCAGAGGGCGGTGAGCGGGCGAGTCCCAACGGCAGTTTCAGCAGCCCCAGGGGGGGTCGAGCCGGGGGCAGCGGATTCAGCAGCCCGAGAAGCAGCGGCAAGACAGGGGCGGGTCCGAGCCCTTTGAGTCCTCGGCCGGGGAGGGACTCACCGCAAGACAGGCAGGGTAAGGCACAGCTGCAGGGACAGAAACACAGGCAGCAGACGCAACAGGGGCAGCAGCAGGGGCAGCAGCAGCAGGGGCAGCAGGAGGTGTGGCGGCACCAGGCGGCGTTCATCCATGTGTTGCTACAGCTGGCCCAGCGGGCTGTGGAGCGCAGCGAAGACGCTGCTGCTGCCGCCGAGGCTGTTCTCTCCGCCACGGCACGAGCTGAGGCTGAGATGCGCGAGTGGGAGGTGGAGCGGCATCTCTCGTCTGTGTTCGGCGAGATTCGGCTGTTTATGCGGCAGCAGGGGGTGGAGCCGGTGAGGCGGCAGGGGGCGGGCGGGGGAGGGAAGGGCGTGGGGGGTGAGGGAGGTGGGACTGGGGGAGGTGGTATGTCTACCACCACGGGGCACACGCCTAGGGACCTGGCGCAGGTTCGGGACGATCTGAAGGTTTTGGTTGGGGCGGTGGAGGCTCGGGCACGGGCAGCTGCGGTGAAAGAGATAGGCGTGGGGGGTGTGAAGGAACGGCCGAGCCTGGTCGTGGGTGCTGCTGGTGACAGTGCTGCCTCTGATTCTGCTGCTGCTGCCGCTGCTGCTTCTTCTGCTGGTGCTTCTGCTGCCGCTGCGGCTTCTTCTGCTGTTGCTTCTGCCGCTTCTGCTGATGGTGGTAAGGAGGCGGCCCCTGAAACTGAAGCCCCCTACGATGCAGCAACTGGAACTGAAGCCGCTGCTGCAGCAACAGCATCAGCATCATCATCATCAGCAGCAGCAGCAGCAGCAGCAGCAGCAGCACCAGCAGCAGCAGCAGCAGCAGCAGCAGCAGCTAGTCCTGCAGATGTCCTAGTAATCAACAACACAAGTGCAGCAGTGGCTGAGTCCAAGGCAAGCAGCGAGATTCCAGAGGATGAAGAAGACCCGTCCACGTTCCTCACAGTGCCACTCACGCCCATGCGCTCGCCCATCATCCGAGTCACCCGCAGCTCCTCCCTCCTCTCCCCCTCCCCCTTCTCCTCCGTCTCCCACCCCTCTTCTTACTCCTCCCTCTCCAACTCCTCTCCCTTCTCCTCCCTCACCCAATCTTCCCCTTTTACCTCGAACCTGCCCCCTTTCGCCCGTTCCTCCTCCACTGCTGCTCCCTCCCACAAGCCTTCATTCTCGCACTCCCCCTCGCTCGCCTCCCTCGGCCCCAGCCTCTCCCCTGCTTCTCTTGCCCCTTACAGCAGTGGTGCCGCGGCAACTGTTGCTGCTGCAGAGAGGGAGGAGGGGAAGGAGGCGGATGGGGTGACAGTAGTGGCTGCTCCGCTTGACCTGCCTGAGCTGGTGGTGGTGGAAGAGGGAGAGGAAGCAGGTGCGGTGGAGGGAGCGGGAAAGGAAGAGGGAGAGGGAGAGGGAGAGGAGGGGGGGATGGGAGATGGCAAGGTCATGGGGGGGCGAAAGGATGGATCAACAGCAGAGGCATCAGGAGATGCAGCAGGAGAAGCAGCAGCTGAATCGGAAGGGGAAGTAACAGGAGAGGCAGCATCGGAGGAAGTAAAGTCGGCAGGAGGGGCAGTGAGTGGGGAGGGTGAGGGGGGTGGTAAGGAGGCGAAGGCAGAGAGGATTGAGGCAGAGACTGGAGTAGAATCAGACGCTTCAGCAGCACTGGGTGCGCCTGAGGCCACCCTGTCGGCTGCAGCTGCCACCACTGCTGCTCAACACTCCTTGCCCAAATCGCTCTCTACCTCCGAGCAGCAGCAGCGGCAGCAGGAGAAGGAGCAACAGCAGGAGCTGCAATGGCAGCAGCAGCAGGAGCGTCAGGAGCGGCATGAGTGGCAGGAGAGGCGCAGGCAGCAGCTGCAGCAGCAGCAGGCAGCCTTGGAGCACCAGGTGGTGCTGCTGCAGCGGCAGGAGCAGGCGCTGCTGCAGCAGGCTGAGGAGGTAGCAGAGGAGGCGGCACAGGAGGCGAGGCGGGTGGGCGTGCAGCAGCAGGTGGTGCTAGACGTGGAAGGGCAGGTGGCTGCTGTTCGAGACACCATGGTGTTCCTCTTGAGAGACTTGCAGGAGCGTGGGGATGGGAGGGGAGGAGCAGAGGAGGGAGGAGAGGCGGGGATGCTGCAGCAGGCTGTGGATGATGGGGAGCAGCGACTGATGGAGGCACAGCAGGTAAGACTGCTGTGCCCCTCACGTGTGCCGTGCTCCTGTCGTGCCCACCTGTCTGCCTTGTCTTTGTCTGGCATGTTATGAAGTGCAAACAGCACTGCCTAGGGCCCCCCCTGCTGCCTTTCCCACACACAGGCTCTCAGAGCCCGTCGGCAGCGGCTGCAAGAGAGGGAGCGGCAGCACTGCCGCCTGCAGCAGCACCACTCTGTCCCCTCTCCCCCACTTATGCCCCCTGCTGCCTCTGCACCTTCCCCCACTCTCAGGTGCTCAGCAGCTACAGGCAGCGGCTGCAGGAGAGGGAGCGGCAGCACCACAGCCTGCAGCAGCGCCTGCGAGTCAACCGCCGCCAGCTAGCAGTCGCCCGCTCCGCCGCCGAAGCTGCTGCCGCAGCTACTGCCGAGGCTGGGGCCGAGGCTGGGGCCGAGGCTGGTGCCGAGCCAGTGGTGGGTGGGAAGGATGCGGAGGAGGGGAAGGATAGGGTGGTGAGAGTGGCGGCCGCTAGGAGCAGCAGCGGGAGTGGCAGTGGGTGGTGGGGGATGGGTCCCTCTGGCGGCCCTGCTGCGGCTGCCGTTGCTGCTGTTGATAGCGCAGGTGACACTGGTGCTACTCCTGCTGTTGCTGGTGCTGCTGCTACTGCCAAACCGCGTGTTAGTGGTCTGAGTATTTCGCCGGCGCACGAGCCAGATTTGTCAGCAGCAGCAGGAGTAGGGGCAGGAGGAGCAGCGGCAGCAGGAGGTGCAGCGGCAGCAGCAGGGGGAGCGGGAGGGGGCATGCTGTCATGGCTACCCATGACTCCTCGTGCCTTCGTAATGGCCGCTGCTGGCCTCCCAGACTCTCTCCGGCCCCGCACCCCACCCGTTGCTCATGCTGACACGTCTCAGGCTCAGCTGAGGCCCCGCACGCCACCCGTTGTTGCTTCTGAGACGTCTCAGCAGTCCCTCAGGCCACGCACACCACCCATTGGTGCCCATGCCCCACAGCACAGGCAGCTGCTGCAACAGCAGCAGCAGCAGCAGCAGCAGCAGCAGCAGCAGCAGCAGCAGCAGCAGCGCCGCTCTCCAGCCCTGCGCCCCCCAACAACCCCTGTGGGGAGCAGCGCCGCCTATGGTCGCCCTGCCGATGCCAGCGCCCCGGCTGCTGCCCCTGCTGCTTCCCCTGCTTCCCCCCTTGCGTTTGTCCGTGCTTCTGTCCCTAATTCTGCCGCTGCTTCTGTCCCTAATTCTGCCTCTTCTTCTGTCCCTAATTCTGTCGCTGCTTCTGTCCCTAATTCTGCCCCTGCTTCTATTCCTGCTGCTGCCCTTGCTTCTATTCCTGCTGCTGCCCCTGCTTCTATTCCTGCTGCTGCCCCTGCTTCTGCCCCTGCTGCTGCCCCTGCTTCTGCCCCTGCCGCTGCTCCTGCTTCTGCCCCCGCTTCTGCTGCTGCTTGTGTCCCTGATTCTGCCTCCGCTGCTGCCCCTGCTTCTGTCCCCGCTTCTGCCCCTGCCTCTGTCCCTCCCTCTGTCCCTAATTCTGCCCCTGCTGCTGCTTATGAGTCGACTCAAAACCTGGCCTATGCTGCGGCTACCCTTGCTTCTGCCCCTGCTGCTGCTCCACCTGCCTCTTGCTCTTCTGCTGCCGATACTGCTGACTTTGTGCTCCTTCCTCCCAGTGCTGCACCCACCGCACCCACCGCAACCACTGCCGACACTGCGCCTACTGCAACCACTGTCGTCACTGCTCCTGCTGCAGCACAGGCGGCAGGCAGCAGGGAGAGGGGCACGGGGCAAGCCCAAGGGCGGGCCTTGCATGGCAAGGGCAGGGCTAGTGGCAGATGGCTGTGGGATGACAGTGATGCCATCGCCACCCCTCCCATCGCACTAGAGACCCAATCAACTGCCTCTCCTGCTTCAGTTGCCGCCACAGTTGCGGCTACAGTTGCCGCTACAGCTGCTGCTACACCTGCTGCTACAGATCCTTCTGCTCTTGTTGCTGCACCTTCTGCTAAAGTTGCAACACCTGCTGCGACGCCCGCTGCTACTGAGTCTGCTGCTGCTCCTGGTGCTGGTGGGAGTGAGAGCAGTGCACCTGCTGCTTCTGCTAGTGCTGCTACTGGTAATGCACCTGAGGGTGGGGCGGCTGCAGGTGGGGCATCTTTAGGTTCGGCAGCCGCAGCCAGGGCAGCTTTAGGTTCGGCAGCTGCAGGTGCGGCAGTGGTAGGTGCGGCAGCCGCGGGTGGGACAGCTGCAGGTTCTGCAGCTGCAGGTGTGGCAGGCCCGAGCGCTGTGATAGGCCCAAGCTTAGCACCAATTCCTACCCCTAGGGGTCCCATGGTGGACGGGCGGCAGAGAGGGCGGCGACTACAGGACGATGAATTCGGCATGTCCCTTTCCGCCCCTGTGGTTTCTGCGCCTACTTTCGTTGATGCTGCTGACCGCCGTGCATCTCCCAGCCCTTCTTTTGCCGGGCTCGGCTCCAGAAGCAGGCGATTGGCTGATGACGGGTTTGGTAGCTTGTTCTCCCCCTCTGCTGCTGTTACTGCTGCTTCTCCTGCTGCTTCTCCTGCTGCTGCTGCTTCTCCTGCTGGTGCTGCTACTGGTGCTGCAGCTGCTAGTCCTCTTGCGGGGCTGGGCTCAAGAAGCAGGCGATTGGTTGATGAAGGGTTTGGCAGTTTGATCTCTCCTGCTGCTGGTGACGCTGCTGCAGCAATGACACCTTCCCTGGTTGGGCCTGGCTCGAGAAGCAGGCGGTTGGCTGATGACAAGTTTGGCAGTTTGATCTCTCCTGCTGCTGATGATGCTGCTGCAGCAGCGGGACCTGGGGTTGGGTCGAGGAGCAGGCGATTGGCCGATGATGGGCACGGTAGCAGGCGGTTGGCTGATGATGGTCATGGGAGCAGGCGATTGGCCGATGATGGGCGTGGAGGCAGAAAATCATTGGATGGTGGAGTTGGGAGCACTAGTGGCAAGAGAATGTGGTGGGGAGGAGTTGAGGTGAGAACAAGATGCAGGTGAATTGCTGTCATTTTAGGAGATTGGCTGGTGCACCGTCTATCCTTTTGCGCTGGAACGTGCATCTTGTTTTGGTGCATTGCATGTGTTCACGAACTGACATGCCTGCCATTCTTTGTGCTCCTGTTTTTTTTCTGGCCACCAGGTGATTCCATGTGATCAAGTCGAAGGTGCTACCCCATCAGCAATGCGCCAAAATATGTGGAAGGATGAGTCCGACTTTTTTGGCTGAGTCTAGTTTCCTATGTTGGTAGTACAATGTTGTCTGTTGTGACGATAATGTATTAATGGCTATTGTATTTAGGAAGATGTTGTGCTTGGTTCTTTCTAGTAGCTATGCCTCGTGTAGTTGAGGCCACAATATTGTCGAGAGCCCGATGTCAATTCACCATGTCGCGGTTGCCAGGGTATGGGCTGCTGCCACGCTGGATTCATAAGTGATTCCAGAAGCTGCCAAGTCACCCTGGAGAGATTCTCTGGGGAGCTTCCAAGGTTGAAGGACCACTCGCCCAATCTCCACTCCGCGTGGCACCAGCTATCAGCTTTTACTGCTTACGTTGCAATCGTGCCCGTCGAACTTTGAAGATTGGCTCCGCAAACGCAGCATTGCCGTAGATGAGCCCCTAACTGCTCAACCCATCACCAGCACCACCAGTTCAGCGTTGGGAATGTCGTGACGCAAAATTTCCCGAATCTCCGCGCTGCTGGAGGTTTGAGCACCTGATCTGACCAGCAGCTGTCTCTTGGGACTGCCGAGCCTATTTCTCTGGTCTCTGAGAATTCCATCCTCTGCTACTTCGGAGCTTTCCCTTACAGCCGCAGTCGCGTGATTGCCGCCATTCATTTTAGCGATTTCATCTTTGCGTCCATCGCATTGCACCGCACGCAACCATGTCGGCTCTCAGCACCTCCGCTTCTCTAGCCGTCGATTCCCGGCTCGCCCTCGCCGATCAGACGGTGTTCAAGGGCCAACCAGTGACCGTCTCTGTCGCTGCTCCCGCCAGAAAGACCGTTGCGACGAGCGTGTCGTGCCGTGCCGATGGCGACAATAAGAATGCGACGCCCAACTTCGCGGCTCAGCTCGCTAGAGCCGTCGTTCCCGCTCTGTCCTCCGCGATCTTCGGTGAGTTACTATCAATAACGTGTGTTTTTTCAGGACTTGTACAGCACTTTCTACACGAGCCCCTTTTTTCACTACTGGATGGGAGCATGTCGGGACCGGAACGGCGAGACACACGCACAAATCTCGTTCCGTTTTTGCTCTCTCGGCTTTCTGGCAGCCGCGACCGTGATGGGCATTGCGCCGACAGCTGACGCAATGCAGAGCTATCTCCTCACTGGTGGCGTCGCCGCCGCTCAAGCAGAGGTACGTCAGCCACGAGACTCGCATCGCCTCCATTCTCCCATACGGGTGCTTCGTTCCTCCGGGAATTTTCCTAGGTTCCATGGTTCGCTCCCTTTCTGTCGCCAAGCCATTCCTGTGATCCAGCCGTCTCCCTCCTCCATGCTACGCGGGTTTCCATTGCATCATGTCAGCGTCCCCTCTCCAATCGCCGAAGCCCATTTTTTTTTCTTGGAACCAGTGAGCTCACGCGGATTTTCGCTCGTGCTGCCCTATTCCCGTGCTTGTTCAGGAGGTCGCTGTTGTGGATGAGGCCGCTTTAAACACGGTAAGCATCCAGCCCCACTTTATTCAAACCCCACACAACAAAAGTCGCGCCTTTTCCTCTGTCAATCTCTTTTGAGTCGCAATGTCGGTCGTTTCAACTCATGGCCATCATTCTCTGGCCCCTTGTTGTCGTAACAAAATCAGCGCCAAGGAGATTATGCATTCTGACGAAACGGGTTTGCGTGTATCGAACCTTCCGATGTCGACTTAAAAGCTGCGTGTTCTTTCGTCCTTCGCCTTTTTTCTTTCGCCAGCCTGAGGAGCGAGCCCGGCGGTTGGGCGAGCTGCTGCGCAAGAAGCGCGAGGAGCAGGAGGCGATCGCCGCTGCGGCGCGCGCGGAGGCGGAGAAGAAGGCGGCGGAGGAGGAGGCCGCGCGGAGATTCGCGGAGGAGAAGATCCAGGCGCAGAGGCTCTTCGTTAAGGTGAGTAGCACAGTAGCTTTTGCGAGCGCGAGGGGATTTTGAGTGAATTCGTCTGCAAGGGGTCTGTGAGTCCAGAACGTGCACTGTGGGATTGGTAGACAGCGAAATGAAGGTGCCACGTTGACGCGCTTCTATGGGCAATTCGAAGCATGGCATTGGGTTGACAACTGATCTACCTACCACTACCCTGATTATTGTCCCGCGTGGATGCCGCTACGATATCGAAAGTATCTCGTTTGTTTCCCGCTGGAACGCCATTTTCTCGCGAGTTTAAAGTTGTCGGGGGTGACGCGTCAAAGGCCCCTCTCCGCGGGCTCACACACCCAGTACAACCGCCTCTTATGTTGCTACGAACGGAATTTCTCTCCATACGGCGAATGAAATAAGTGTCTGAGCGCTGGCTGGAAACCTCCTTACGTGCACCCAAGGCACCGGTTTAGTTAGCCATTACGAAGACACGTTTTGTCATTCGTATGTTCAACGCCTCTAGAGTCTACCGACTCCTCCCACCCCACTGCATCCTTCCTCCCCCGCGCTCGCTCTTTCCCCATCCAGCCGGAGCTGAAGCCGTCGAGCACAGCGGCGCCGCCCGTGAAGGAGGTGAAGCAGCAGGATGCGAAGAAGAGCAAGCGCGGCGGCATGCCGCTCTTCGTCTCGCAGTTCGGCGTGCTCGCCGCGTTCGGCGGTGGCATCGCAGCTCTCTTCGTGCTGCCCGATGAGAAGTGGAAGGAGATCGAGGAGGTGAGAGAGGCAGCCCATGCCAGTGCAGCATCTTCTGGTTAGGTGGAAGCTCTAAGAGTAGGCAAGAAGTGGGTCAAGCCACTCGAGCCTTTGTTAGTGTAGCGCCTATTTAGTTTAGCCCCCGGCTGTCGTTGCCCCACACCCATTTCTATTCCTTTCGGCCCATTCCCTGGTCTTGCCTCTCAACCCTCTCACCCCTGAACACTCATCCTCGCCCCTCGTCCCTCGCCCTTTTCCCCTAGCCCCTCAACTCTTACACCTGTCCCCCCGCACCTCGACCCTCACCCTTGCCCCTTCCCACCTCAACCCTCACTGTCCACTCACACCTCTCATCCCCCCTGCCCCCGTGGAGCAGAAGCTGGAGGAGAGGTGGGGCAACGGTGAGAGTGGTGGGGCAAACTAAGAGGAAGTGGTCCCTGACTACGCGGAGAGAGTCAGGGAGCCGGGTGACTATGTAGTAGAGGGTGATGTACATGGGGGGGGGGGTTCTTGGCGCAGAACTCAGCAGGAAGCGCAGCGCGGTAGCGTGTATCACTAGTGCGGAGGTGCGTAATGAGGTCAGCGACTGTGGGAAAGGCAGCAAGGTCAGGGAAGAGGTACGGTAGCATAAGGCGGCTCAGTGCAGCAGTGGCAGGGGAAGAGTAGCGTGCAACTACAGCGTCGTACAAGGTCTGAGCACTCTTGTACTGGCTAAAGTGCGCACGCTCAGCGGTCGGTAAGTGGCGGCGCACAGGAAGGCGAGCAGCAGCATCGCGCGTGGCCCACTGTGAGCGAACCGTGGCGTCAGCATCAGCAGCAGGGGCAGGAGAGGCACCAGAAGTGAGGTCAAACAGGGATAGACCATCTGCCCTATCGCACTGTAGGAAAAGCTGCAGATCATCTACCCAGACCTCAAAGTCAACTGCCCGAACCTCAGCATCAAAGGTGAGAACACTAGGGGTGGCCATGACAGCAGTAGACAGGAAGTGAGTACAGTGGGGTAGGGCAGTGCAGTGGCAGAGGCGCTGCTCTTACCGGGCAAGTGAGGCGGTCCCGGGCAGGCCGACAGGCGGCGGCGCCTCAGCTGCAGTGCGGCTCGGCGGCAAAGGCGGCTCGGCGGCTCGGCAGCAAAGGCGGCTCGGCGGCTCAGCTGCTTGGTGGCTCGGCGGCTCAGCGGCTCTGCAGTTCGGCGGCTCGGCGGCTCGGCAGCGAAGGCGGCTCGGCGGGGCCGTGAAGGGCGGAGTCGTTGCCGCTAAGGAGCGGCGACGGGGCCGCTGAAGGACGGCGACGGGGCCGCGGAAGGGCGGCGACGGGGCCGCTGAAAGGGCGGCGACGGGGCCGCGGAAGGGCGGCGACGGGGCCGCTGAAAGGGCGGCGACGGGGCCGCGGAAGGGCGGCGACGGGGCCGCTGAAGGGCGGCGACGGGGCCGCTGAAAGAGCGGCGACGGGGCCGCAGAAAGGGGTGGCGACGGGGCCGCTGAAGGGCGGTGACGGGGCCGCTGAAAGGCGGCGACGGGGCCGCTGAAAGAGCAGCGACGGGGCCGCAGAAAGGGGTGCCGGCGGGGCCGCTGAAGGGCGGTGACGGGGCCGCTGAAAGGCGGCGACGGGGCCGCAGCAAGGGGCGGCGACGGGGCCGCTGAAAGGGCGGCGACAGGGCCGCTGAGAGGGCGGCGACGGGGCCGCGAGGGCGGCGCGACGGGGCCGTGAGGACGGCGCGACGGGGCCACTAGGGGCTGTGAGAGAGGCCGCTAGAGGCCAGTGAGGGTATCGACACGGGGCGCGACTCGGGCAGGGGCCAAGCGCGCTCCGGGCAGGAAAAAAAATTTGATATTCGGTGGGCCCTAGGAACAGTTCCCACGAGGGAACCTGCTCTATACCATGTGAGGATTAGAACGAGAATGAATGCATTGAGCAGAATGAGGAGTACAAGTAGTAAACCCTAAAGTGTTGTACCCCATATGAACTGCCCCACTACAGCCTACACAGACTATAGCATATATGCCTGACACAATTTGGTGCTGGATGGCTAAGAGACAGCGAACGAAGAGGAGCGGGAGTCAGGAACATGGGAAGTAAAGGTTAGTTTCAAGGACTACAAATATCGGAAGTCGCGACATTGGCACACTAAAGAGGCTACATTGTTACCTTCGACTGCGGTGTCGCCATAGTGGTTGTTATCAATGGCTACGGATCCCAGATGAGCCTGCACGCAAAACCGGTTGAGAACGGATGAAAACAGTAACGTTAGTCATTTGCGGGAAAACGCATGTGAAGAAACTGTGACGGTGCGAAGGATGACACCCAAGGATGTGAGACGTATGATAAGTGAGCTCGTGAGCGAATGGCACCAAGTGAAAGGAGGAAGGAGGTGACGAAGGAGCTAGTATCGCGGATACTTGCGCGAATTAAGAGTTTAGAACCTGCGATTCGTAGCCTTGAGCTAACAGCGCGCTGATGAACTCTTTCACGAGAGCCACGTGAGCATCGTCCCAAGTGCCGTAGAAACGACGTGGAGGGGCGTGCGTGGAGTCTCGCCGCCTGAAGCGGTGACCGTGGATGAGAACTCGCGGGACTGGACGCCAAGAACAAGGGCAACAAGAATTGGGACGGCGATGGAGAGGAGACAGAGGAGCGCGCGCATGTTGAGCGGTGATCGGGAAGCCATTATGTCTTTTCGGCTGAGTGTAGTATTATCTGCTTCGCGACGCATCTCGGCCTTCACCTTGTTTCAAGTAGTCGAGTGCGTGGCGAAGAAATGTGAACGTGAATATAAGAGTGGATCTGAAACAATGTGGAAGAGCGATACGAGGTCAGGAGTTGTGCGAGCTCGGTGATGAAGTAAGCAGAGCTCGAGGGTCCACGCACGGCGCTGGAGCTGTTTGTCGAGTCGAGCCCCAGGGTTGTGGGATCTTCAAGATCGGGAAATATGGGAACTTGGAAAAACTTGTCCAAATATCGAGCCCATATATGATTTTCAACGTCATAGATTTGGAATGACCGGGGGGGGGGGGGGGGGCGCGCGGAAGAAAATGCGGGGCGCGGAAGGCAGAGGCGTAGGGACGAGGCAACGGTGATATTTGGATAAGAACCATCTGACCTGAAACCTTTTAAAATTAGTATTACAGCGTGGCTTGACGAATATAAGAGCTTCATGACTCACGACTTCCCGTAGTGGAGGTCCTCCTGGGTTTCAGAGCAGAAATCGAAATATTTCAAGCAGCGATGGTGCAATAATTCAAGTGGTCCCGGCGGAGCTTTCGAGCGCAGCGACGAAGCTCGCAGTTCCTCTGCAGCGCCCATATGCGAGTCGCGGACATTTCTGCGAGGAGATCAATCAGGAACCCTGATTGCCTGGAAGAGTGGCAAACGGACGTGGCTTGGATAGTTGTCCTCGAACTATCAAGGCATTGACGGGAAAGCAGCATTTCATCTGACCCCAGTGTTACAGGGCAAAGGCGAACTCGCCACAGGAAAGTTCGCTCACTAGCGAACTTGTAACCTTCGCCAAAACTCCAACCTGAGATGTCAAATTCGAGGTTGGAAATCTCAACCTGAAATGTGCGCTTCGGGATTTCTCAAAGCACACGTGAATTCCCAACCAGCAAAGCAACAAAGAAGAAAGCACAAGGGCATCTTCACGACAGCAGAGCAACAAGTCACGCCATACAGCTGTAACTACGTTCCAGCACCACAAGATCTAAGTGCCATCATCATGAAGTCGAAGACCAAGTCAGATAATACCTTTCTAGATCCATCTCATGATTGTACTTTGCATATTTCTATATAAACAGCTAGGATCCAGCATAGGATTGTTATCATTGCTTGTACATAGCCGTTCCTTGCTGGTGACAGCAGAGATAGGATTAATGGCGACCTGAATGACCTTCTCAAGGCGCCATAGTCATAGAAGTGTGTATAAGAGTAGTCCTTCGTCCCTTGTATGCCATTCTTGCTTTCTGAAATTTACAGAATTTATGCTACTGAGTTTACCTTGTCATTTTAGACTCTCCAAGCTTTAGCCTTCAGAAACTCTAACAGCCTAGAGCTGTTCCATTTGGTATCAGGGCTAGATTTCGACTTCCTGCTAGGACTACGTCATGACGTCTGACTTAGGACCTCCGTCCTCTGAGGATTGGGCTAATTTTTTGCAAAACTACCGGGCCCAAATCGTTTCTGAACTTCGAGAGAGCTTGCAAGTTGAGATTCGAGCCAGTATAGTTGCAGCCGGTTCGGTGGCAGAAAGTGTGAATACTGCTGCACCCTCAGATGGAAATCAGCGCGCTAGACCCGCTATGACAGATCTCTTCACGCCAAGAAAGTTTCAGCCAGTCGTGAGTCGATGGCTATTCCTTGTCGAGTAGTACATGCTGTTGAGCCACGTTGCACCTGCTGAGTGGGCATCATTCACGGGAACGCTTCTTTGAGGTTCTGCGATCACTTGGTGGCAATCCATCCACACCTCTGTTCAGTCATGGGAGCAGTTTAAGCAACTCTTCACGGCTGCTTTTCAACCAGTGAACCCGGAACTCAAAACTCGTGGCCGCTTGGCTGCCCTCAAGCAACTCAAATCCGTCCATGAGTACGCGGCGCGCTTCCGTGATGTTGCACAAGAGATACCTGACCTGTCCACTGCTGAAAAAATGGATCGCTTCAAGCGTGGCCTGAAATTCAACGTCTGCATGGAGGTCGAGCTAAGGGACTGCACTACGCTCGAGGAAATGATACGTGTCGCTGAACGGTATGACGCTGTTCATTTCGCATACAAGGCACAATTTCCTCGCAGCCCGTTCCTCCCTTTTGCTCCCTCCCATTAGCCATCATCCTCAGCAACATTCAACCAGCAAGAACCTGCTCCTATGGACCTGGACGTGATGGAGAAGGGCAAGAAACCTGTGAAGCCCGATGTCGTTCGCTTCAAGTGCGGCAAGAAAGGTCATGTGTGGAGGTTCTGCCGCGAACGCTCCAGCCGACCACCGTTGCTTCCAATACCAAAAAACAGTCACCGCCAGTAAGCTTGGGGCGACTTTCTGGCAACCTGCAGAGCCCTTCCATCATCTCTCTTGAAAACACCATCCCATCTAACCCCCTTCTCCTTTCCATAAGCATACAGAACCGTACCTTCAAGGCCCTGATTGATAGCGGAGCTTCTTCCAACTTCATCTCATCAAACCTTGTCTCTGAACTATCTCTTCCTATCCAGCAAGATTCCCATTCCCAAATAGTGCAGATGGCGAACGGAGCTTCTATCACATGTGGCCCAACCCCTTTCCCAATCAGCTGCACCATGGGCTCATACAAAGACAAGCTCCAGTTCCAGCAAGTGCCTTTGGGAGAGCATCATCTAATCCTCGGGCGTGATTGGCTTTCATCCAAGAACCCACGGATTGATTGGACTGCTGGAACAGTATCCATCGTGCACAGTGG